TCTAGACCTCTTCTAGATCCTGAGATTCTGTGAAGTTCTCACCACAAAGTCATCGTAATCAGAAAAAGCACAATGTACCAAGTAAATCCATCTCCAGTGAACAAAATGTTCTTTCTTTCTTTCTTTCTTTATTTTTTTTAAATAAAAGCTTAATTTTTTTTAAAAAACTCTGAAGTAATCAGGTAGAGGATTTCTGGGTAGAGATTTGTAGAATCCATAAAAAAGTTGTCAATTAGAAAAGTTTTCCTCCACTAGATGGCAGATTTAAAATTTAATGAATAAACATCATGAATGGAACACCAAAGGCCTCACTATTGCGAGCCTCTGTAGCTATCCCTTTCATATGACTTTTCCCATTGTGGTTTTGATATATTCCGAGTGGGCATAAGAAATTAAATGGGCATTTTTGGGGAATTTTGTTGAAGCTGCAGATGACATTCAAAGACCAGTAAATGATGCATAAAAAGTCTAGAAACTCAGAAATGCATAAAATATATGTGTAATATTGCATAATATCAACCCAAATTTTACAGTAAGATACTGTAAACTCCCCATACAAGAAAAAGAAAAAGAAAAAATTCAGACTTCTTTTCTGGTACAGAGGGTGGGTCAAAAAATTTTATGTGGATTTTTTAGGTCATGGGGCCACCAAATCTCCACTCCCTGTGATGTGGAAGGGATGACTGTACTTATTTCTTGAAAAAGTCAGATTCTGAGTAACCATTTATGTTGGTTATGGCTCATTAAGGTTGCCTTATGTTAGAATGTCAACCTTTTGATTACAGAGACTATCTTGCTTTTATTTGGCAGAGTAAATGCTTAATAAATACTTCTTATTCATTAAATCATATAAATTCCATCTATCTATCTATCTCTAGTTATTGTCTACCTTTATATCTATTTATCATCTATACCTATTTATATCTATCTTTATCATCTGCATCTCTCTGTCTCTGTCTCTCTCTCTCCCCTGCCCCCAGCTTAATTTCTCCATGAAAATACAAGCTCCTTGAGGGTACAGCCAATTTAATGTTTGAGTTTGTCATCCCCTCCCCCAGCCTAGCACTGTGACTGGCACCTGACAAGTATTTAATCCCAGGGCAGCCCATTCCCCTTGGGGACAGATGTAATTATCAGGAAGTTTTCCCTAATGTCCTAATGTTGAATGACCAATTGGCTTCCCCCAATAAAAGAACTGTAACTCCTCTCCTGGCTGAAATGGTGAACCTAATAAGGAAAGAACAGATCCGGACCTCACAGGTTAATTTAGATATTTAATAATACCTTATAAGTCAATTATCAGCATCTGATCAGCCTAGAATTATATAACATCTTACAACATTTGGTAGTTCCTGGTTTCATTTGATTAATTATTCCAAGGTTCCCATTATATTTATTTATTCCAAACCAGTGATTGTTTCCCCGAACATGTAGATGATGTAATTTTGACTCACTCCATTCTGAGAGTTTACAGTGAAAATTCTATACAAACATTGTACTAAAAGGACAAAAATAAGTGCTTCTCACACACTTTTAATACTGTTTATGTCCATCTGGTTTTGTTGCTCCAGTGAAAGAACCTCCTCATGTAAATAACAGACCATACAAGAAATGTGTTTGTCCAACTTCACTTTTTTTTTTAAGGTGAGGTGTGGTGTGAAGTGGTTATTTTAGGCAATATTGCCACTAGTGATATAGCCTTCTCCCAAAAGAAAGAGTTTGACAGAGAGAGATATAACCAGAATCAAATTAGACACCTTCTGATCCTGATGATTTGTTTTAAATAGCCTTCTCTACAGTCTGTAAAAACAAAAGTTCTCCAGGAATTGGAGAAGCGAATGCCAAGTTTCTGAGCAAAATTCACATTTGTGAGGAAATCTAAAAATAGAAAAGAGCATTTTCCTTCATTTCCCTGCCCCTACCGCAGGTCGGCTTTGCTTTGTGAACTGCATACTGGATTTTCCTGTCCAGTAAAATTAAAAGAATAATGAACCTAATGAATTCAGGCTGATAAAAAGCTTGACTCTCCATTAATTAATGTCCTTGGGCAATTCTGGTATCTTTATTTGACTTGAAAATTATTTTTGAAAAGGATTTCCCTTTTTTGTAACTTTGACTCTTTTTTGCTTAGTCATTTGCTTGGCATCTTTTCCCCCATCAAAATATTTGGAAGATTGTTTTAACTTAAGTGAGAAAAAAGAAGATCCAGGATTGAATTAAGCTAAAGTAGCCCACCCAGATGAGCTGGAGGTTGGATACAGAAAAATAATGCTTGGAAAAGAGCAAATTTCTCATCTGAGGCCTAGCGTTTAACTGTTGAAAACATATGTCCCCAAAGTTTGAAAACTCTTGGCTATTGATGGGTTGAAATTTAATGTAATTATGTTTTTTAAAAAGACTGAAGATGCAGAAAGGAAGTTGCCTTGAAAAGAATATTCACTGAAGATTAGGTGTTTCTGTGGCCTCTATGAGAAGACACAGTGTCTAATACTTAACTATGACCTTCTACAATAGTGGGTAGGAGACGGAGGAAGAGGAGAAATTATTTTCTGAAAGTATGTATTATGTGGTAATTCTCAGAATCCTCCTCCATCCTACCCCCACCTCTGATATTTTTATTTTAAAATATGGGAGGGATTGGGATTTGTGGGAAAATCTAGAGTGGAAAAGGCCCAAGCTGAGGGATCACAATGGAAATAAAGTGAACGTGTCTGTGTATTGACACAGCCTGTTGTTTGAGAGAGGTATGGGGGAAGGGAAGAGGGGGAGGTTGTGCGTGGAAAGTTCACTTTTCTTTGGCCTCAGTTTCCTCATCTTACAGATGAGGGAGGTATACTAGATGAAGTCCCCTCTAACCTTAGATCTGTGATCCTGGTGGCCATCAGAACTGTAACAAGGGCTAGGAAAAGGAGGCACTTATTTTAGGTGCACAAAGCCGAGGTTCCCTGGACCACTTAAATACAAAGCAATAATGAAGGCTGAAGTGGAGAATTTAATAATCATGCTGTTGCTATTTCCTATTTTCCTTATGTAACCTCAGGGAATCATGGTGATGCTCATATATAGACTGAAATGTCCACGAGTTTGCTTTCTCTAATAATATACTCTAGTTAAATATTATACAAAGAAGGCTACCAGCTGTACATTAACCACAAACATTCTATTTTCTTTCTAATTGCTGCTAGAAAAAAGTTGGCTATTTTAATCAAACACATTTCTGAGCAAAACAATATTATTCTGCATTCATGTTGCCTTTTTTTTTGCCACATTTTGTTTCCTATATTGCATGATTAACTGCAATCAGATAAAAGCAGGGTTTGGGATCAGAAAATCCTATTTCTGTAATGATTTTATATTCCTGATCTACTTTTCATCCAAGGAGGACAAAACATAGACATCATTTGACTTCTTATAATTACGTACTGGGGCTATTCAGAGCACCCTCTTAATGCTTTTAGAGTAAAGCTGAATCTCAGACCAGATCTTCAAAAATCAGTTCTACAGGACCCAAAACTGGATACTACTGTCTATGGCTGGCTATTGCAGTTATGGATGATTCCACAAAATACTGAGTACATTGTGAGGGAATTTCACTTGTTTTTTTTTGCAAAGTATCTCAAGCCCTCCAGGTTATGATTTTTTTTTAAAGTCTGATCACAGAGTTCATTAATAAGTGTGAAATGGAGGACTAATCAGTTTCCCCAACATGTATTTACAATATACAAAAATGTATTTACAAAATCTAAAAAATGCCAAGTCTCTTTTTAGGTTGATTTTTAGTATTCTCCTCATTCCTCAGTTATTGTCCATATATTGGGCTAAGAAGTTTAGGTATTAGGTTAAAAAAGATCTTCAAAGAAAACTTCATAACCAGGCACACTGGAATATAAGCTATAAAAAATAAAAATCTCACTTCATATAAACAACCGTGTGACTTTCCTTCAAGAGATTGAAATACTCTTACATTCGCTTTTGCTTTTAAGCAAAGACTAATCCCAAGACTGGGATGGGGAGGGGAGGGGGGCTGGGTAATAGGTGAGCCAGCTCAATGGCTCTGCATGGAAGCCAAGGCCAAGGGTAGGTATTGGCATTCAAAAAGCTGTAACACTACTTAAAAGGCTCCGGAATGCCAAATGAATGAAAAGGAAATTCCACCTTCTAGAGTACATCTCTAACCCGACAATGATTCGGTGCAGACTACTCCTGTTCCCAATCGAATAATGACTCCATAGCTCCAAATAGTATTATAAAATGGAATTAGTTAAAAGCTTAGTGACACTCAATATAAACTGAAATTTAGATGGATATTGTTTTGGTGAAAGGTTGAACTCTGGGCTGGGAAGAACATGGGGGTGAGTGCTTCCACATAAATAAATTAACATCCAAGAAAAAATGTTTCTTTGTGGTTAATGCTGGTAAATAACTTATAATCTTATCCCTATCTCAGTGCAAAAATAATACCTGAAATGCAGCTCAAAAAGGATTTGCTTTCTCTCCTGAGAAATACTCTGAAGCCAACATTTTCCTGACCTGAGGTAAGGTCCTGGTCGCTTTCTGGGTGCCTTGCTAACAAAAGCATCAGCTAAATATCAAGACATTTGGGATTACATTGAACAAGGACCAGGATGCCCATCCAAGAGGGTAATTTGATCATGGAAGTCAATGGCTTCCTTCCAGTGGTAACTAGGGGAAGACAAAGTAACCCAACGGGCAGAACCATGGAAAGCTAATTGGAACAAGGACTTATGGAATGAAATTTACATTGGACTCTTTCCCATTCCCCACATATTCTGTATTTTTTTTTAATATTTGAATCTCAAAACCTTCTCTAATGATTCTATGCTTGTGACATTGCTGTTCTGACTTGGGAGGGGGAGAGGGCAATGGTTTTTTTTGTTTTGTTTTGTTTTGTTTTGTTTTGTTTTTTTGCTGTGTGACCTTGGACAAATCATTTAGATGTTCTGAGCCTGAGTTTCATTTACAAATGAAGGGATTGGACTAGACATCCTCCAAAATTCCTTGCAGCTCTAAATCTACAATTTTATGTTTTATTAAGAAAATACCTTTTGTGTCTTGGCCCAATGATAAATTTTCTCACCCTAAGAAATATTTCTCAATTCCAATCTCTTGTCAGCAGAACTGATAGGAAGGTGGGATGCAATGTTTTCTATTAAGAGGTGAATTATTTTCATCCCTTGGCTTGGTTTTGCTTGTTTTTTTTTCACTGTCTTTATATTACAGAGTCTAGACACGTGATTTCATTGGTAGAGAGTATCCCTGGGTGAGGAAAACACCCTCCCCAAAAGCAAGTCAGTACATTCTTTTCAACTTAAAGTCTTACTGAGTTGTTCAGAGCACTGAGAAGTCCTGACTTGCTCAGGGTTCTGGGTGCCTCAGACAGTACTTGGCACATAGTAGGTGCTTAACAAACATTTGTCAGATTGAATTGGATTTGATGGAAAGAGAAGGAATTATGAACTCAAAGAGAAAGGGTTTGTGCTGAAAGGAAAATGGATCCAAATTGGAGTCCCATTTCCCAGAGGATTGAAAAGCAAAATGTACTTGGTGAGATAGAGCCAAAAGGAGAGACAGAGAGGCGGGACACTTTGGGGCTTTTAAGGCACATGTTGCCAGTAGATTCTAACAGTGTTTTTACTGCTGGGCTAGGCAGTGCCTGGGGGCTCATGGGGACAAGGTCAGCCTGGGTCTGCTTTGGGATCCCATTATCCCTTTCGGGATCTGACATCATTTTCAGCCAGTCTTTTGATTTGTGTCTTATAAATGTTTATGGGGACCCAGGGATTTCTGAATGGGAATTTGAGTATGTTTTATTGATTTTCCATTAATGAAACTAGAAGGGGGGGGGCCTCATCCAGGAAATAGGTGCCTGAGTGGGCCCAAAGCACACAGGCTGCTTGATCTGATTCACAAACCATCATTCTGCAAATGGGGGGATTGGGGCACCTTGTCTTTATCTCCCAGCTCCTCTGCTCCCCATCAGTGTACCTGGAGAAGTGGGAGTATGCTCCACTTTTTGGAATGGTGGTAGGGAACCCAGTCTCTGGAAACATAGCTTGTGATTGTTGGGAGGATGGAGGAGAAAGCTTTCTTGGGGAGGCAGCATGAAAAAATAACTCTGATTTAACAAGGTTGTTTGATGCTTATGGGAACAGGAAGAAAGCTAAGGCAGGGAGATCTCATGTTCGTTGTCATATGGTTGGATTTGAAAGAAGGGCCAAGGACAAACCTAAGAGAACTTGATGGTTCATAAGATCCAGAAAAAAGGAATAACTCCTTCCTCTATCTTCCTGCTGTAAAGGCATGTATTCACCCAGTTCTCTGCAGCTAGAAATACAGTTTGGGAGGCGTGAATTAATCTCCTAATTAATCACATAATGAATAGAGCGCTGGCTTTGAAATAAGGAATATCTGGGTTGAAATTCCACCTTTGATGCTAGAAGTGGGAAAGAAGTTTAATCTGAGTCTCAGGCAACTTTCTTAGACTATAAGTTATAAAAGGGTTGCTATTTACCTCAGTGGAGGGATTTATCATGCCAGGATTTGCCACACCAATTAAACAGTAAGTCTGATGTATTGGCATCTGTACAGGGAACTATTACAGGCAGGGAGATACAAAGAAGAAAAAGATGACAAATTCTCCTCTTGAGGAGCTTACAATCTGCTAAGAAAGACTAGGTCAGAGACTTAGGAACAAACTGGGATCTCGCCTCATTTCCTGAATAGGAATAGGGCCTAAACGAAACAGATCCAAAAGAAATCTACCTAGGAGTCTATTGGAACTGAGTTGAAAATGGAGGCAATAGCCCAGAGGTAGAGCCATTCTGTGTCTGCTGATCTCCAGTGGGGTCCCAGGGTGCTTTCAATGCCTTTATGGAGGCTCCGGAGAGGCCCTGAGTTTACTAGAAAGGTATTGGTCTTGGGCAGGTAGAGTGGAAAGATCTAGCACTGATTGCTAGGGAAGTCTCTCCTGGCCTTTGACTAGGCCGTGTCTGTAAACAGAGCCCAGGGTAGAGCTGGAGTCCTGGAGAAGGACCACGGAATGTTAGTCCTCTGGGAGCTGGCACCCCATGGTTAGGTTGGTGTTTGGTCCGAGTTGCTGGTCACCCTTTGTGGTCCCCCGCCTCTATAAATGGCTCAGCTCATGCCTCCTACTGACCAAAATATCTGACTCCAGTCTACACTGTCTTTTGTAATCAAACCAAGGGGACACCGAAGGTCTCCAATAATATAGGATATCTCCTGGGGCCAGAGTTACTTCCCTTCCCACAGTAGAAAATGGATTCACAACCATTTGATTTAATTTTGGAAACACACGCTAAAACAACCCCACCGGCTGATGAGTAAGAAAGTCTAGGAAATGGATTATTTTAGAATTATGTAGAAAAATTAGGAGAGTTAGGGGAGGTTTTGTCTCCGTCGAGCTCTGTGTCTCTTGTTTTTAAATAAAAAACAAACATACAAACAGCAGTCCTCAAAAGGCCCCGTATCCATCCCCGCGAGCAGCCATGGCAAAGGCAGGGTAGGCTTCGTACGTGGCATAAGCTGCCAAGTCTTGGCCCAGGGTCACAGCTTGCTTTAGCTGGGCCGCAGTCACAGTGGCCGCTGCATTGGCGATGGCATAGCCTACAGAGGGATGCAAAGGAAACGCGAGTTAAAGGCCCGTCTCACCACTTTCTGACTCGCTTAGTGGTTAGACCAGAGCTCAGGGACTCTCTCTGATCCATCTTGGTTGGGTGACCCCAGGCAAGACGCTGAACCTCCGTGCCCGACCTGCGCTGCCACCAGAGTGCTTTCTCCCTGGGAGCTGCTGAGCCCATGCAAAAAACAAACAAACGACAAACTGCTTGGCACCCTATGCACCGGGTTCTAGCCGCTCTGCCTTGATTTCAGCTTTGTGCAGAAGACCTGGATGCGAATTTTAGGTCTGCTACTTAAATGTCATATGGGCTGGGGAGGGGCTCTAAGATTCATCCCAGCTCTAAGTCTATGGCCCAAAAAGCATAGTCTGGAATGGACCCGAGAGGCCATCTATTACACTGCCCCCCCATTTTACAGGAGAGGAAACTGAGGCCCAAAGAAATGAAGTGATGCCCAGGGTCTCTTCGGACTCTAGACCATCCTCCACTCAACATCAATTGATCTTCCTAAAGCACAGGTCTGACCATGTCACCTCCCTACTTGGTAAACCCCAGTAGCTTCCTATCACCTCCAGGGTAAAATACAAAGTCCTCTGTTTGTTAGAAACCAACTTTATAACCTGGTTCTCCCTCCTCCCCCCAATACCTTTCCAGGCTTCTCATACCCCAGCCCTCTACTCTGTGACCCAGGGACACCCCATCTCCAGACTCCAGACATTGCCATTGGCTGTTCCCCATTCCTGGAACATTCTTATTCCTCATCTCCTCTTCCTAGTTCCTTCAAATCCCATCTAATTCTAACCTGCTACATTAAGTTTTTCACGATCCCCCTTATTGTTAGTGTTTTCCCTTTGGGATTATCTCCAATTTATTCTGTATGTAGCTGGTTTGTGCATAGTTGTTTGCCTGTTTTCTCCCCTGTTAGACTGTGAGTCACTTGAGAACCCGAGTTGGGTTGTTTTTTCTTTCTTTTTTGCCTTTCTTTGTATACCCAGTGCACAGCACAGTGTCCCTGGAATGCAGTGTGCGCTTCATAAATGCTTGTTGACTGACTTGGCCTCCCACTTTCCAGAGAACCATGCCTTATAACACAGACTTTTTATTTTATTTTATTTTTTTTTTGGTGAGGCAATTGGGGTTAAGTGACTTGCCCAGGGTCACACAGCTAGTAAGTGTCAAGTGTCTGAGACTGGATTTGAATTCAGGTCCTCCTAACTCTAAGACCAGGGCTTTATCCACTGTGCCACCTAGCTGCCCCTAACACAGACTTTTTAAAAAAAGATGAAGAGAAAAAACTCAGCAAAATTAAGCAACACATTAAGAAAAAAATATAACAGTATGAGCAATGTTCCAGTGGACCCCCATCCTTGCAAAGAGGCAGAGGAAGGAATGGCCTCATGTCTCTTGTTTGGAGCCAAGCTTGGTCTTTATAGTTTTGAAAAGTTCACTTTTGATTCTTTTGCGGTTGTCCTTCCCGCTCACACTATTGTAGTCATTGTGTATATTGTTTTCTTGGCTCTGCATCAGTTCATGTAAGTCTTTTTGTGCTTCTCTGTATTTATCATGTTTGTCCATTCAGGCAGCACAGTCAAGGTCCGTTACATTCCTGTACCACAATTTGTTTAGCAATTCCGCAATAGATGGGCATCTAATTTCTTTCTAGTTCTTTGCTCTCAGGAAAATGGTTGCTATATTCTTGTGTGTATGAAGTCATTGTTTTTGTCCAAAGACCTCATTGATATATATACCTAACAGTTGTTTGTCCTTCATTTTTAAAGAGGACCAATGACATCACAGCTTGATATCTTGAATTGGATTAAAGTGAAGCAGAGTTGCACAAAGTTATCAGCCTCCCTCTCTCACAGTGGAATCTCTGGGTCAAAGACTGTGGGCATTTTAGCCACTTGATTTGTGTGCCTTTAAATTTCCAGAATGGTGGGACTCATTCACAGCCTCACCAAATTAGGGTCATTCTTTCAAATGACTGTTGTTAGTTACAATTCTTCTTTCGAAGATTATTTGTTCATATGCTTTGACCACTTGATCTGTTGGAGAATGGCTTTTGGACATACATTTCTATTAAGTGTCTATATATTTAGGATGTCAAAACCTTATCAGAAATGTTTGATACTGAATTGCTTTTTTGCCATTGATGTGGTAGGCTGCTTCTGGGTATATTTCCTCCTACCATCTGAGATGCAGAAAATAATGAGAGAGAGAGAGAAAGAGAGTGAGAGAGAGAGAGAGAGAAGGAGGGACAGAGAGAGAGAGAGAGTGAGAGGGAGGAGGGAGGAGAGGGAAGGGGTACTTAAAATTGAAGAAAAAGCAAGGACCAATTTCAAACAATGAGTCCATTTGGCTGATGTGCTGTGCAAGCCTGCCCAACCCCAGACAAATTGATTTTATGCATGTGTGTGTGTGTGTGTGTGTGTGGCTTTTGCAAATCTCTGTGGCAGGAAACTGGCTGGACCCCATCATCGTCATTTTTTTCTAAAATTAAAACCACTCCTTAGCTATTCTTCACTGCATTTTAATGCTCGCTAATCCACATTTCAGCTGAGTCTGTCTTTTGTGCCTCTGAGAAGTTCACTGAGAACAACTTTCATACCCCGGGACACTTGTAAGAGACACAATATAAATATACAGTCTAGGGAAGTTTACTTCTCAGGGGCTTCCGAATTTGCTTTTTCACATTGGGTTGAGGACTCGAGTTTGCAGTCTTTGGACGGAAGTTTTCCTTGGGCTCATTTCCTTGTCTTTGCTTGATCCCACAGGGAGCTAAGACATATGACTGTATTCCTGTCATTCCCGTGATGTTGGGGCAGCTCTCATGCCCTAAATACTTCTGTCTTTTGGCTTCGGGAAATGGAATCAGGGACAAGATAATGAATTCAAAAAACTTTCTTGGTGAAAAGAAAGTTTCCTTATACGTGGAAAAGAGTGCAAACCGTTCTGGCTATTGATAAAATTATCTATCTAAGTCTACACACATGAGAAAACACATGCATTTATGTGTATATATTCGTATATACGTCTATACATACACACATACATGTCTTTGCAAACATTAAAGGACTACATAAATTCTAGCCATTATCGGCTTTGTCCACCATTATCATCATAATCTAAACCTGTAATTTCCTTAGTATAGGGAACTCCTGACAAGGAAAGTCTCTCCATGAATGAAAATACTCTGCAAGTTACAATCTTAGAGAGCTGCCTGAGATACTTAGAAGTTAAGTGACTTGCTCTGGGTCTCCCAGTCAGTGAATTAGAGGGAGCACTTGTTTCTAGGTCTTCCTGACTTTGAGGCCAGCTCTCTGTTTACTCTGCCTCACTGTCCCTCTTACTCTTACGGTAGATCATTTTCTCTAGTAACCAGGTGAGTAGTTTTTGGGGTTTGGTTTCTACAATATGATAGATGGGTCATCCTGGTTCATGAGCTGATAGAACAGAGCTAAAAAGGACCTTAGAGGTCATTGAGTTCAGCCATCTCATGTTATCAGTAGTGGAAGAGACTGAAGTCCAAGGAAGTGACTTACTCAGAGTTACAGGTAATACGTAACAAAATCAGGATTAGAACTCGGGCCCTCTGACTTTCAATCCAATGCTCTTTCCCTAGACCGGTATATGTTGTCTTTCCTCAGGCTTTGAGGTTTTTTGCTTGAAGGTCTTAGTAAACATTTTTCTTTCCTAAATTTCCTTTACCATCTCCCAGTCTTGCTTCCAATCTTGATACTGGAAGGGCAGGACCCTGGAGCAGAAGGTGAGTAGGTGACTTGCTCAAAGTCTCACACTCTGTTCCTTTGTTGGATCCCTAACTCAGAGCTAAATAAAGACACAGGGAAAAAAATGGCTAGAAATGAAAATGTATACTAACTAATTATGAAAACACATCAATTCATCCCCCAAGCTCTCACTGGAGCCTCTTTGTGTAAGGCACTGGGCAATGATGGAGACCAGGCTCTGGAGTCTACGAGCTGGGTGTCACACCCAGGGTTTCCCTTCACCATTCCATCCTCCCCAATGCCACATAAAGGCTCTAAGAGTAAAGTTCTGGTCTTGTCATTTCCCTGCTTAACAAGGGCCGGGTGCTCTTTGCTGCTTCCTCTGCTTGGGTTTTCAAGCCTTTCATGATCTAGTTCCAGCCTATTCTTGACCGATTCAGCATTGCTTCCCCAAATGCTTTCTGTGTTCCAGACACCTGGCATGCTTGGGGTTTCATGAATGTGATGTTCTATTTCCTGCCTGCTGTCTCCGACATGAACTTCTAAGAACGTCTGAAGTACAAGACCTACTATATTTTACAGTGAATTTGTTCAAAATGGGTGGCATCTGTTGTGAGCAAGTAATAGATGTGTGAAAGTCCTTGGAAATATTCCAGATTGTTCATACGCTCATCCTGGTCAGTTAAGAAGATCAATATACGGAAACCCAAATTTAAGAAATACATCATAATGATAGTCAAGGGGGGACTGGTTATTCACATTACAGAATAATAAATTAATATTTATGTATAGCACTTCAAAGTTTGCAAAGTATATTACAAATGTTATTGCAGTGGATTTTCACAACCTTCTGAAGTAGGTGCGATTATTATCTTCCTTTTACAGAAGATGAAACCAAGGCAGACGGAGGTTGAGTAACTTGCCCGGGGTCACACGGCTAGTAAGTGCCTGAGATAGGAGATGAACTCGGGTCTTACTAACTGTGTGACCCCAGGCCAGTCGCCAAACCTTCCCGGGTCTCAGTTTCCCAATGCGTAAAATGGAGAGAGTAAGAGCACCTACGTCTCAGGGTTGTCGTGAAGATAAAATGAGAACATATATACAGTACTTCACCAACTTAAATATGTTATAGAAATGAGAGCAGCAAGAAACCCCGGAGGTCACGTAGGCACAGACAACCTCCGCACTTTGTAGAAGAGGAAACTCAGGCCCAGAGGGGGCCTAGCGGACTTGCCCAAGGTCACACGGGCAATAAGCAACAGAAGTGGACGGCAAATCAGGGCTGCTGACTCCAAATTCATCGGCTGTGCAATGTCTGCTTGTTTCTTGAAAATAAATGGACAAAAATTGTATCTCTATATAACTTTGAGGAATTCATCTAGAATTCAAAGTGAAATGGAATCCTACTTTTTTTTTTAGAGCCAGATGGGGCCTTTGAAATCATTGTTTTAATATTCCTGTACACGTGTATGTTGTAATCTTGGGCTATAAGGTGGTGTAGTGGATATGACTAAGGACTGGGCTAAGAGTTAGGAAGACCTGAATTCAAATCCTGCCCAAGACACTTACTGACTGTATGACCCTGGTCAAGTCACTCTCCAAGTCTCAGTTTCTTCATCTGTGAAAAGGAGATAATGATACCTGTAGCATTTAACTTATAAGTTGGTTGGGAGGATAAAAAGAGATAATATAAGAGAAATAGATTTCCAAACTTGGCTTTGAATCCCGCCTCAGGCATTTACCAGCTTATCTTCTCTAGGCCTCAGTTTCTTCCTCCGTAAAATGAAGGTGTTGGGCTCCATGACCTCTGGGGTCACTTCCACCGCTAGGGCTAGGCTCCTGTGATTTCCCCCATAAAATGAGACTCCTTGAGAAGCAGGGGCTCTTTCATCTATTTTTGAGCCCCGGCACATCACAGTTTGCCTGTCACATATCAGGCTCTGAATTGTTTATTGATCAATGCAATTCAGTTTTCCCCCTTCCATTGCACAGATGAGTAAATTGAGGTCTAGAGGTGAAGTGACAAGTCCAAAGTAACACAACCAGTGAGTTGCAGAGTAAAACCCCCAAATTTTGAGTCTTGAGTTTTTCCATAAGAATATATTGTTAATTTCCTTGGTAAACCCTTTTGTTCATGTGTCTTGCAAAGGCAAACTTATCATGAGCATGGTCCAAATGTATTTTTATGATTCTAAAAAGAATGGAATTACAACTCAAAGGAACCTCAAAGATATTCTGGTCCAAACCTTTCATTTTATGGATGAGGCAGCTGGGGGTCAGAGAGGGCAAGTCACTTGTCCAAGACCACACAGCTTGAAACCAGGATGTTCACTTCCACGGCTAAGGCTATTTAAAGTGGCACTTTCTTGGTGCTAGCTTTCACCCACCTGGAAAAGCGGCAGCAGCAGCTGGCAGAGCCTCAGTTCCCTCCATAGGAATGCCCAGGGTTTGAAGGGTGTACTCAGCTGCGTATGTCTTGGCTTCATCAACAAAGGCACTGAGTTTTGGAGGGGTGAAAGGGTGACTGTAAAGGAGAAGTCATGTTAGATCTGGGATCGTTTTCCAAGTTTTTCAGCTAAATAGATGTTCCTCATAGATTATTGCCATAATAAAGTGGGAAATGTTTGTGGAATCACGGGGTTTGAAATTAAGAGCTGGAAGAGATATGAAACTACTGACTATTCAAAATGGATGATGAAGACGATGGTAACGGTGAAGAGGCTCTTTTTTGGAGGGTTGAGTTCAAAGATAGGCTGGTATTTTTCCATACAAATCATCTTAATTCTGTACTCTAAGTTTTGAGGACCAATGAAAAGTGAAAGGAAATGCTAACTTTAGAAACCATCAGAAGGTAACGGCTACCTCCCCATGCTCCTCCCCCCCCGAATGTCTTTATAATCACTTTGTATGTAGTTTGCATTAATTTCTTATTGAGGGAGAAGACACTGTTTGGACTTTGTTTTCCTAGCTCTAATACCCAGCATTTCTTAAATGCCTGTAGACAGCCCCATGTCCTCAAGAAACTTGTATTCTTTTGGGGACTTAATAAATTCTCGTTGAATTGAATTGAACAAAGAGAAACCACCCCCTGGAGGAAGAAGTGGAAAACTACCCACATTGCTGGGTTCTGGTTGGCAAGAGCCGGGATGGAGATTTTATAAAGGAAAAGTTGTCTTTGGTCTTGACCAATGGCTGAGTGAAGCTGATACACTGGCTGTCCCCAGTTGTTCTTCTGGCAGATTTCCTCTAAGACCTAGAGGAATAAAAAAATCATACCTTTTATTCTGTGTTTTTTAAAACAAATGTCACACTTGGGTTACTTCTATGACTCTGAGAGTTTTATACCTCCATCTTCTACATTCATGCTAATATAAGAAAGGCAGAAAATGCCCCATGGTTTGACTCATGAACCTTGAGTTGAACTCAATTGAAAATTGAACAACCACTAATTCATAAAGATGACTTTCCCTCCGCTTGTTCTAGTATGTTTTCTGCATAGCTGTTAGTTATTTAACTTTGTCCCAAGCACCTAAAATTGTTATTTCTAGCTTTTATCTCAATTTTGTTTGCATTTGGATTGCTGTTGGATCGACTTTTCTTTCCTATGATCACAAATTTATGCATAGAACACAGGATGCAGATATATCCTCCTTTCAATTCACTGGGTCAGAGCCATCAAATGTCACCTTTATGTAGAAAACCTAAAAAATGTGCTATTTCTTGTCCAAGGGAAAAATTCCAAATGGGCAGTCCTGTATTGCTTTGTCTGGTCCCTTTCATTTCTCTGACATATCATATTGACCATTTGTGGAATCCTCTGTTCTTTAATCATTTTCTGCACTTTTTTTTCCCTAAGTATTCTGCCCCCAGACTTACTGACTTAATCATAATAACTATCTTAGTCTCTTCTCCAGATTAGAGCCAATTTGGATGATGACCAATGTCTTGGGCAGACTACAGTAGACCATTGCCCATACAGTAACATGTTTCCAGAAGAGTCCACAAGGTACAAAGCAGAAGAAAGAACCAAGAGTCTAGGTGTGTGGGAATAATCTTTCGAAGCACCACATCTATAGAGGGATGTTATTCCAGTAATCCTTTTGGAATTACATCACAGAGTCAATCACAGAATTTCAGCAGGAGAAGGGAGCTCAGTGGTGATCTAGTCCAGTTCAAATTTGAACTGGAATTATCTCTCTAACACACCCAATGTTATATATAACATTATGTATAATGTCATACATAATATATAACATGATATAATACTTAATATTATTATCTAACATATCTAATGGTCATCCAGTCTTGGCTCAATCGCCTCTAGTGAGGAAGCCCATTCATTTGGATGGCTCTAACTGTAGGATGATTTAACCTGTGACATCAGCCTAAATTTACAACTCCTCATTTTCTATCCATTATTCTTAGTTCTGCCTTGTAGGGCCTAGCACAACAAGACTAACTCTCTTTTATGTAGAATCATAGGGACTTCAATGGTCTTCTACTCCAACACATCAATGGAAGAGTCCCCACTATAACATCCCCAGAGAGTCGTCATCCAGCAATTTTTGGAGGGGAAACCCTCCACCCTCAACACAATCCCTTCTACTCTGGATACTTGAAGGTAATGATCATATCCCCACCTCAGTCTTCTCTTTTCCTGACTAAGCATCCCCAGTTCATTCAACAGATTCTCATGTCGTATGATTTTGGTATCCCTCACTATCTCAGTTGCTCTACCTCTAGGTACTCTCAAGCTTTTCAAGGTTCTTTCTTTAATGTGATCCAGAAGGGAACAGAATACTCCCGAGACAGTCCCCTACACTACTCTGGATGTAGTCCTATTCTGTGTTAGATGTGGCCCCATTGGGGTTCCTGGCAGAGTGTCCTCCTGCCCTTTATACTCCAGGTGTGGTCCCGCCATGGCCCTCCAGTGCTCCAAATGTGATCCATTCTAAAGGCCATCTGGATTCCCATTTGACTTTTCAGTCCTCTCCCTTTCTACATCCAATTTGTGGGTACCATGTTCAGCTGCCACTCAGAGGCATAACTAATTATGCCTAGAACACCATGAAAACATACCATGTTTGGGGCAGAGATTTCTACAGGAGCTGTGCCATCCCCTCTGAACTTGGGAGCACTGCTGATCAGAGACGCCCCTGAATGAGTTAAGATTCTCCCAGGGCACAGTTCTGAGGTCAGTGAAGCTTGCTTTTGTTCCTCTCTCATCTCTGCCATTAGCAAGCCACTTCCTTCTGCTTGTCACTTCTCAGGACATCCACACCCCCGGCCTCAGAGCATTGCTTGGCTGTCTGTGGGATCTTGCTCAGCTGACTGCCTGCTAAGGTGTTAGTGATAAGACTTAATACTCCCAGGTGACTTGTGCATTAACGGGAGGTTCGAGGAAGCCCAAAGGAATGAAATGGTTGCATTGTCAGAGAGGGAGACAGGCACTTGGGAGGTTGATATTTGGGGACAGATCTGGAGAACTCTCAAATAGACAAGGGTAGCTTCTAATCTATTAGGGGAGATAAGACACATGGGCCAAGCTGACCAACCTGAAATAAGCAAGTCTTTACTTTTAAAAATATTTAATAAAATTTCTTTTCAATGCACAAAAATAAATTTTTGCTTGCATCCCTCACCATTGAAAAAGAAAAAGAAAAACATACCCCATGTAATAATATTAGGCAATTCTTTTTTTTTTTTTTGGCAATTGGGGTTAAGTGACTTGCTCAAGGTCACCCAGCTAGTAAGTGTCAAGTATCTGATCTGAGGCCAGATTTGAACTCAGGTCCTCCTGACTTCAGGGCTGGTGCTCTATCCACTGCACCACCTAGCTTCCCCCAATATTGGGCAATTCTTAAACAGTGACATATAACAACTTAGGGGTTACACTTTACCTCTATTGTCTGATTTGATCCCCACAACAACCCTGTGGAGGTGCTACCATCACCCCCATTTTACAAATGGAGAACTGAGTCTCTCAGAGGTTGAGTGACTTTCCAAAGCCACATAGCTAGTAGAAGTCTGAGGCAGAATTCAAACCCAGATCTCGCTAACTGTTTTGGTATTCTCCTCACTATACTAAGCTGTCTCATAAGAGTGGAGGGCAGTCTGGATTTTGCTGGATAGAATAGTAGAATCTCAAAGTTAGAAGGGGCCCCTGGGACCCTTGATGCAATCCCATACTGGGAAAAAGTCTCCATCTGGTTAATTTGGAACTGGACCGAGTCTGTTTTATAAGTAGACAATTGATAGTCCAAATGTAGATCAAATCAATGGACCATCAGCAGGGACCCAGAACTGTAGCTATAAGTATTAGCGGATTGGGTATGACCTTCATAGCTTCTTAGGATCATCATCTAGTGGTATTTCCCCCGAGAGCATTAGAATTTGTCTCAGGCTCACAGCCCTATGGAAAGGGTAAAGAAGGAGACAGTAGTAGTGTGGTGGATAGAGCACTGGACCTGGGGTCAGGAAGATCTAAGTTCAAATCCAACCTCAGACACTTCCTAGCTGTGTGACCCTGGGCAAGTCACTTAACCTGTTTGCCTCAGTTAACTCGTCTGTAAAATAAGCTGGAAAAGGAAGTAGATATACTCTAGTATCTTTGCCAAGAAGACCCCAAATGGGGTCACAAAGAGTTGGACGTGACTGAAAACAGTTTTACAGCCACAAGGTACAATGGAAGAATTTAAAGGCCCATTTGTATGACCCTGGATAAATCATTTCACCTCTCTAGGCCTCAGTTTATTTATTAGCAAAATGAGGAGTTTGGAGTAGATGGCTTCTAAAATTCCATCTAGCTCCCTATTTCTGCTGCTCTGATCTATGATTCCTCAGATCCCAAGCAAGTGGTCGGGTTAGATGATATACAGAATACAGGATAGGTTTTATTCCGTGCAAGTTGTACTTGTGCCAATACACAGTCAACACACAGCCCTCCTTCCCCTCTCATGAGCCTCCACCTTCCCCTAGGAACATGTATGGTGTCTAAGAAATGATAAAGAAATGTGGAAATATTTCTATATGATGCAGAGTAGAGGAAATGGAACAGTAATGTACAGAGAAAAACAAATCAGGTGACAAACTCTGAGGCACACTCAAAGGGGAAAGAGTGACTGGAAGAAGACCCACACAAATTCAAAGCTATTGTGATTATTTGGACAAGCTAGTTGATAAGAGGAATGCTGTGGATACCTGTTTACCTAGATTTTTGCCAAAGCTTTTGACAAAGGGTGTCATAGCATTCTTGTGGGGAATGTGGAGAGATAGGGATTAGACTGATATAATTGGATTCTGGTGGGATATCTGGACTCAAAAAGTAGCTAATAACAATTCAATGTCAACGTGGCAGGAAGTTTGTCTTAGGGGACCCCAGGGATCTGGGCTTGGTGTTATGTTTTTAAACACTTTTATCAGACTAGAATAAAGGCATCATGGCATGCTCACAGATCTTGCCAATGGCACAAAGCTGAGAGGAATAATCAACATGCTGAATTCAGGGTCCAAATGCATCCCATCAGGCTAGGGCCAGAATGAAACAAGGATCAAGTCTTACATTTGGGTTCAAAAATAAACATCATGAGTCCAAAATAGGGGAAGCCTGAGTAGACAGTTTCAAAATGATCTTGGGGTTTCAGCAGACTTGAGGCTCACTATGAGTCAGAATAATGCTATCTTGGGTTGCCTCAAGAGAAAGAGCTTTGAGAAATAGGGGAATGACTGTCCCACTGTAATCTACCTTCATAAGACTTCAAACGAAGGATTGTGTTCAGTATTGTGGTTTAAGGAGGGCGTTGGAGAAGCTATGATGTCCCAGATGCAACCAGCATGGTGAAGGATGCTGAGTCCATGACACATGAGGAATCACTGAAGGAATTGGACAGGTTTAACATGGCAAGAAGACTCAGGGGATATAATGGCTTTCTTTAAGTATTTGAAGGGCTGCCACGAAGAGCAAAGATTGGCTTTATTTTATTTGAACCAGGAGCAACAGGTGGGAGTTGCGAAGATGCCAATTTAGGTTGGATATTAGGAAAAGTTTTTTTTTTTAAACACTTACAGCCACCCAACAATGGATTGGGATGCCTCACTACATGTTGGCTCCCTCAACCTGGAGGCTCTTCAGAAACTGGAAAACTGCTTTCTGATATGTTACTGGGGGAGGAGTTTTCCTTTCATATATTTGTGGGATCCCTTCTGGTTTTCCAGTTCCATGATTCTATCCAAATTTATATCCATTCGGCTTCCTTTGAACAAACTACAATAGTTTAGACCCAGCGGTTATAGTTTCCATATATCCTTATTCCTGCTTTTGTTTGGTTGTCTATGAAGCTAGTTATTAATTTTATTGCTTAAGCATTTGAAGAAAACAAGGCTTGGCACATCTTCCAGTTCCTACTACCTACCTGAGGAGCGAGTTTAATCCCTTGAGGCTTTAAGGTAACTGGATTCATGGGAGTGAGCTCCATCCCAGGTAAAATGTCGTAGAGTTTGTCTTCTCCCCTCTTGTCTCCTTTGACCTGATAGCCACGCCCCCGGCCCGGGTAGGCCAAATATCCACGACCGCCCAGGCCTCTAACTCCCGCAGCCCCTACAGGGACATTCATGTAAATTTCTAGGAATGTAAGAAGGTATTAAACTGAATCAAACCACCAGAAAATCACCCTGATTCTTACTGTAATGGAAAAGTTAGCCCCCGTCACATTGATTATGCCCCTGAAGATAGGCCATGAGGTGGGATTCTAATGGAAAGAAACTCAATGCAAAGTATAGTTCACAAGAGAAAAATGAGTGACTGCTGAAGGGTGCCAGTACCATGGAGATTTGCCTTCAGTACCGATGGCAGGCTGGATCTCTGAGCTAGAAGTGACATTTTCAATTTTGGCTGTTAATTAACTTAGCTCTCAGAGAGATTTTGCCGGACAGTAAGATGGTGGAATGTTTACTAAGGCATCCCAATGCAATATCAACACGCTGCTTATAATATTCCATCTGGCCTTTGGACTCTCCTTTAGCAGCAAAGTCAAAGTCATTGCTGGCACATTAGGATACTGGGCTAGGAAGCAAACCGCCGTTTTGGTTACGTTCCCCATATTTGCTCTTTGTTCTGCCAATGTAAGGTTCAACTTTTCATTGAGTTCATGTACAGATTACTTTTGATTTTAGTTTTACTATTTTTTTTGGGTGTGTGTGCCACATTTGCCATTGATGGCATAAAGGGATAGGAAAAATAATTATATCAATTATTCTTCCTTCAATCAGCATCATTAGTTCCAAAATAGTCATAAGACACAGATTTTTTCCCCTTGCTTAAAGCACAGAACATTCCCACCTCCTTTCTCTTCCTCCATGCACACATTACAACTGGTTCATTTTAAAGGTATGGAATTTTGATTCTTCATTGACATAATTCACTCCCAGAAAAGTATAGAGGGCTGCTTCTGGAGACAGAGGAGGTCTTCAAGCAGAGGCTGGATGACCACATGAGATGTGTTGTAAAGGAAACTAGTGGGAGGGGAAGGGCTGAACAACATTTAGCTCTGGGGTCTCTTTCCACTCTGAGATTGGGGTTCTTTGCATTGTTTGATTCGAAGTACAGTTAAATGTTCCTTAGTAGCCTTCCTCTCTGCTCAAATGATCGAGGACATGGACATCTGCATACATGGGTTTTTTTCCCCTGCTTTCATTAGATGTTTTATAACAGGAAATAGAAATTATCTGGCAGCCAGGTTGATTGTTTCCTTTTCTGACTGAAATTTAATTCCTCATTTTCTAATATCCCTCAGAAAGAAGTTAATTTCCTTATTCACATCCTCATGAGAAGATGCAATCCCTATTTCTAAGTGGAGGGAAGATGAGAGCATCCCGCTATATGAGGTGTTATCAAATTAATAACAATCCACTGTTTTTAGACAAAGATGGCGCTCTTAACCCACTATTGATAGAATATACATTCCAAATCGTTTCTCCGTTAGTGGTGAGTGGTTGCTGAGCTCTTCATGTTCACACTCAGTCTCTTTGGGTCAGAGGATGAAGAGCAGGGAAAGAAGGAGCTTCTTGTTTGTATCTCTAGCACTTAGCACAGTGCCCGGCACATATCAGGCACTTAATAAATGTTTATTGAATTAGAGTGGGTTGAGTCTAGTCCCATCCCCTCATTTTTACAGAGGAGGAAATTGGGGCCAAGAGAGAGGGAAGTGACTTATCCAGAGTCCCATGGGTAAAAAGTGCTTTGTGGCACGTGTTTATTCCTCCATCTTCCCCTTCAGCTACATACAGAGATGGTCTCGGTCATACCCTTGTTCTTGTCACCACTCTCAAGTGGAATACCCGTAACTTTCCACTTACATGGTCATGAACTCTGAAATTCTTTTATCTGATCACAACCTATTGTCATTCCACCTCCCCATCTCCCAAATCCCGTTCTTGGTCCTTATTGTGAACTCCAATTCTTTCACCTCTGTTCTTTCCCAGGCCATCACTCCTGCTCCAGCTCTACTCTCTTCGCTTTCCCATCTTGACACCTTAGTGGATCAATTCAACTCTGCACTGTCCTTTTCCACCTTATCACCTTACCACATTTCCCTATCATTTATCTTCCACTGCCATGTCTCAACCTTAGATGATTCCTATCTGCATTGGCAGATAGAGTGCCCCATACCAATGAGCTCCTGTCTCTAACTAGATGCTCATAAAAATGGCTTATTAACATGATGGTGGGGGTTGGGGGGAAAGGAGTGCGCCATAATCTGCATCTTTGGGTGGTGTATGTACACCGATGAAATCACAGATGCTTGAGGCTTTGGATAATAATAACAATTACTGCTACTACTCTTAGGAATAGGATCCAAACTGGGATTTGGGCTTTACATTGTGCTGTATCCAAGTGACTCAGCTCAGAACAAGTCATTTAGCCATATTTAATTGACTCTACATTTTCTCTCTTTCTAAATGTCTAGTGAAAATGTGAAAACATTTACCAGTTGTAATGTGATTAAAAAGGATTCCTTGCTTAATACAGTGAGTACAATATGTGATTTTCAACGAACAATTTCCATTCTCTATAGCTACAATATCCCCCATATAATCCATCTAAAGTTATTGCAAAACAAATTATTGGAGATCTTTCAATGAATCTTTGAAATTTCTAAACGGCAGATGTTACCTCTGATAGAAGGGGGCCGGATGACGGCTCTGTTGCTGAGGTGTCCCTTGGCCACTGGAAAGTGGAGGTTTGGAATGGCTGCATAGGCCTGTGGGGCATAGAAGACAGGTGCTCCCAGATAGGTTGTGGCTGGGTCATAAATATGTCCCAGTGAGTAAGTGTATTCCCCTTGCAGGGTGGTGCCCCGGCCACCTGTGCCTCGAGTATATCTCACGTAACTGTCTTTATCCACTGGCTTGGCTAATGTCACTTCAATAGGAGAACCATCCAATACCTTTTATAATAAGAAAAGGAAAGGTAAAGTGAGGAACAGCAAAGGCAACCCCGTCTAGATAATGTCTACTCCACCTCTTGTTTGCTCTCACTTTCTAGGTTTAATTGGGTAAACATACTCTACGTCCCACGCCTTACGTAATAACTGAGACAAGAGTATGGTACCGTGAGGGGCTGGCAAAGAATTTGCATAGCTTCCATAAAGGGGAGATGGTTTTTGGGGAGATGGGTTTTGTAAGAAAAAAACCCCCTCCCCGATCTTTCTTGTGTCTTACCTCCTCTGGGTTCTACTTGTAGCAGATTCAGTATGCCTAAAATCAGTTTCCTGAGCCTATCCAAATTTACATCTATATTTCTGATCCTATCATCTCAACCCTTTGAATACAAGGTTGAGATCTGAAGAAATGCTGTACCAACCCAGTCTACTGACTTCTCATCCTGATTTGGATCCTACACATCTCCCCTCAAGGATCTCCTACATCTCTTATCCTGATGCTTGCCAGAATCATAGGCAACAAAAGTGTTCCCCTGGGTGGGATATAGACCCCTATTCCAAGGAAGCCTGACTTCTTTTCCCCCCTCCTTAGTATATTCCCCCATTTTCATGGACATTACTATTACAGAACATGGGCCAGTCTGACAGTGGTATGTACATCAGCCCTGAAGGCAGTGCAAAATTACCTTAAATTTGGACTCTCCCTAACCCAGGTTTGGATGGAGAATCAGAAGCTCCTGTCCTAGGTATGGAATCAGTTGGGTTTCTCTACTCCCAGGTCCACTGCCAATGCAAGATAGGTATAATTCCATGATCAAGTGATAGTTGACATGTGACCGAAATGTAATGAAACTGTTCCAGAAGCAGCATGTAGAAATCACCTTCTTTACTTCTTGTTTGTACTTCGAATGTAGGGATGACAGGGAGGAGAGGGGTAGAAAGCCAAAAGACAGGCAGTGGAGTACAGTGGGAAATGTGCTAGTTTAGAAATCAGAGGCTCTGGGCTCAAATCCTAGGTCTGTTGCTTACTACCTGGGTGATGTTGGGCAAGGAATTCAGCCCCTGAGAGCCTCAGCTTCTGCACCCATCAAAAGAGGTGCTTGGGCTAGATAGCTTTGAAAGTTTCTCCCAACTCTAATTCTATGTATGAAATGCTGACATTATGGGACTAAGAGTCCGCTTCAGACTCCTTCGTCGGACTTTGGTAATTACATGGTGCAGGTGTCTTGTTTTCCCCTATGTATGAAAACCACAAATTGGCTCACATTCCTGCAGTACCTTCCCATTTAAAGCCTTCATGGCGTTCACTGCATCTTCACGATTATTGAAGTGCACGAAGGCATAGTCTCGGATTTTCTTCACTCGCTCCACGGAACCTACAAGGAATGAGGGAAAAGGAAGCTTTTGCCAGAGGTCGCGCCAGGTTGATTGCACATGGCGGCTTCTCAGGCAACTTGAACAGTAGAAGAATATCGAGGCCATATAGTCCAACACCGTCATTTTACGTCATTTAAAAATGTTTGTTTAAAAATCCTTATATTGTGGGCAGCTAGGTGGCGCAGTGGATAGAGTACCGACCCTGGATTCAGGATGACCCGAGTTCAAATCAGACCTCAGACACACTTACTAGCTGTGTGACCCTGGGCAAGTCATTAATCCCATTGCCTAGCCCCCCCAAAAAATTAAAAAAAATTCTTATATTAACAGACACCAGAGCAAATGGCATTTTCATATACATTATAGTCCAGTAGGAGAGGATTGTATGTGAATCTGCAAATCTCTGCTATATAGACCTTGTGTTTCTTTTTATGTGTACGATAAATACAACATGGCCTTCTTTCCTGTCCTCTTCCCTTTTTGGGAAGGAGCAGAGGGAGTATATCCCTACCCTGCTCCTGTCTGTCCTCCGTCCAAACTTAAAAAAAATCTTCTAAAATATTGATAGTATATACATATAATATATATACATATACTATTGATAGTATGTGTAGTATTACTATATATACTTTATACACTATTAGTATATAGTGTATGTTACAGACAATGCCAGATGTGATTGGAATATTAGTTGTTTGTTCTTGTTTTTTTTTTTTTTTGTTACATGGGAAGGTTCAATTCTGAATGAACGGATGATAGCATCACAGAATTACAACTGGAAGGGACATTAGAGGCCCCAAGTCCAACCCCTTTATTTTATAGATTAGGCAACTGAGGCACAAAGAGGTCAAGTGACTTGCCCAGGGTAGTGGAATAGTAGAGAGGAGAAACAATACCTAGGAATAACTGCGTTATAAATACAAGAGAATCAATGAAAATCATCTGAGTATTCTTAACCTCCTACCTCTGTTTTGAACCAAGACTCCACAAAAACTGTCAACTACTGTTATAGAACTACTTGTGGGCATTCTGGAGACCCCTAATAGCTGGAAAAGTGAGGAACCAACTGATATTTTTATAGCACTTCATAGCTGGCAAACTGTTATATTGTGGTGCAGTGGATAGAGTCTGGAGTCAGGAAGACCTGAGTTCAAATCTGACCTCAGATACCTACTAGCTGAATGACCCTGGGTAAGTCACTTTACCTTGTTTGCTTCAGTTTCCTCATCTGTAAAACGAGCTGGAGAAGGAAATGACAAATAACTCTAGTATCTCTGCCAAGAAAACTCTCCCAAAAGGGGTCATGAAGAATGGGACATGACTGGAAAATGAGTAGACAACAACAAAAAGTGTTTTATAGGAACTGTCTTCTTCACCAAGTGTGGGAGGCCAGTGCCACTATAAATATCATTATCCTCATTTCCAGGCAAGGAAACAGAGACTCAGAAAATATATTTGACTTGCTCAAGGTCACGGAACAAGTAAGAATCTGAGGTCAGACTTGAAGCTAGGCCTTTCCTGGCTCTGAGCCCAGTGCTCTGTGCATAGGACCATGATGTCCTATAAGGTGGATGGCCAATGATTTTGCAGCATCCTGAGGAAGTCAGTGGCCCCTTGACTTCCAATGGAAGGCAGCCATTCCTAGTTATGGGATTAAAGGAATTGACCAGAGACACATGGAGGTTTCAGATGAACCTTATCAGGTGGGAGCTGTTAATGATTTAGAAAAGGAGAAAAGAATTCAGCGTGATCTTGAAAAATTAGAGAAATGATTCATCTAGATCGTGATGAAGTCCTGAAGATGGATTTACACCAAATAGCAAGCTATGGGGCACAAAGCCAAGCACCCACATACAGGGTGAGAAAAGACCCATGAGGCCTGAATATAGTAGAGGAAGACCTGGGGCTTCTGGTGGAATACTCATTAAATGTGTGGTTAGCAGAATAGTTTTCTTATAAGTTAAGACTTGGGGATGAATGAATATTACATCAAACTAATCTTTTTATGATACTTAGTGTTTCTTATACTTAACACACTAATTTATAGGATAGATTTAGAGATGGACCGTTAAAGGAGCCGCCTTTGTGCTTGAAAAAAAGAATATTATGAAATTAAAAGAGGATAGGCTATGAGAGGCAGCCAGGTGGCACAGTGGATAGAGCACTGGGCATGGAATCAGGATGAGTCCTCTTCATGAGTTCAAATCTGACCCCTGACAATTACTAGCTGTGTGATCCTGGGCAAGTCACTTCACCCTGTTTGCCTCAGTTTCCTTATCTGTAAAGTGAGCTGGAGAAGGAAATGGCAAATCACTCCAGTATCTCTGCCAAGAAAACTCTAAATGGGGTCATGAAGAGTTTGGTCATGACTGAAGGGGCCAAACAGCAACAACAAGAAGATATGAGAATAATGTAATTAATGGAATATCAAATAGGACCTAACGGGAAAGTAAACTAACTTGGGATTTTTTTTTTATTGTGGATGAATATGGCTTTTTAAATTCAAGTTATTTAGAGTTACTAAGTAATTAAGTTCAATGTTTCTCAAGTGTCTCAGTCCTAGTACCCAGGACTACCAAAATGATAGTCTTATGTACTCTACTGTGGCCAGACTGCACCACAGTTTAAGAAATGGCACTGATCAACTGGAGAACCTGCAAAGGAGCTAAGAAGGGCCTTGAGCACATGCTCTGTAAAGAGTGCTTGGAGGAGTTGGGGGTGGTTATCTTGGAGAAGAAAAGCCCAGAAGAGAGAGAACAATACAGTGCCCTTCAAGCAAAGACAGGCCACCATGCCCAAGAGGGATTAGTCTGGTTCATCTTGGTTTAGGAGCAATGGGTGAAAGTTGGAAAGAGGTGAATTCGGGCCTCGTGTACAACTAAACTGCCCAGGAACAAGAGCTGTCCAATGGCAGAATGGGCTGTCTAGGAAGGGGGGAGGGGCTTCCCTTCACTAGAGCTCTTTCAGCAAAGGCTGGATCAATATGAGCTGGGGGTGTTGCAGTAGATGGCATTCTTCAAGCAAGAATAGGCTTAGATGCCTCTAAGGTCCTTTCCAAGGGAAATTCTATGATTCTGTGACCTTGTTTAGACATCCATCAGATAGCTGATGATACAATGCCCACTCATTCTCCATCTGCAGAAAGAGAGCAAATGCTCTTCAATTTTAGCCAGAGGGATATTAGTGATGTTTTCATACAAATGGTACAAATGGTTCATGCAACGAGTCCTTTCGGTTCTGTGTACACAACAGCTGAAGATGAGGAATTTATTTCTGTGAAAAGCAGGGGAACGATGTTTCCATGGAGTCTTTGGTGAGGCAATAGACTTCACGGGTTGCCTTTGCAAATGTGAACAGAAGCCCCAAGTTACAGTGTTTCTGATCCAGTCTTAACCCAGATTGCTTACAATGCTTTAAGAGTTTTGCAGACAAAATAACATTTGGATTAACTCAGAATATCAGTACAGAAACTCAGCACTGTCTGGGACTCCCTCCGGGTCCTTTCTGTCCTATTAGCATCCCAAAATAAATCCTTTGCAAGATGCCTGACAAGTGGTCTTCCTGTCTTTGCTTAAAGACCACCAGCAAGGGGAGCCCTCCACCTTTTGAGGCAACTCGTTCCACCTGGGAATAGTTTAAATGTTAGGAAGTTCTTCTGACAGCAAGCCCAAGTTTGCTTCTTGGTAACTTCCACACATGGCTCTTCTTTCTTTGCTCTGGGGCCACACAGAACAACACTAACCCCCCTTTCACAGAACAGCCTTTCAAATACCTAAATATCACTCCCATAGTTCCCTGAATCCTTTCTTGTCTATGCTAAGTGTCCTCAGTTCCTTCAATCAATCATCATATGGCATGCCCTCAAGCAGCTTCATTATCCTGGTTGCCAATGCCCTTCTTGAACTGTGATGCCCTGACCTGAACATAATACTCCAGACTGGCCCACCCAGGAAGGAGTTTGGGGAGATTATCACCTAGTACTGAAGCCAATAATTAGATATGAGATATGGCTACCACATATCACTATTGACTCATTGGGATTATAGTCCACTACCCTCTAGATCTTTCTGTGATGAATTACCTTCTTGCTCTAATTTCGAGGCTGAGTATCATCATGAGTTTCACATATCAATTTGTTCACTAAATATTCAACTATAGGACCATCTGAATGAAGCCTGTCCTGATCAAAGCTGTGAAGACTTGTATCAAGGCCAAATGCATGGACCTCCCCCTCCTCCCTTCCCAAAAAGGAAGAGTCACCTCCCATGGAAACCCCTACCTGGTCTGATATTGTTGAATTCCTTTTCGATGGTCTCTTCAGACGTAGACAGCATGAGGTTTCGCACATAAAGGATTTTCACAGAAGACATTGTATCTTCATCAACTTCTACTTCTGGTTCTGCCCAGTCTACTGCAATGGGATGGCCCCACAACTGAATTCTCCCTGTCAAGAAGGACCAGAAGAATGATTAATAAAAGTAGTAATTGAAGTAGCAGGCTGCCTTGATTCTTTGAATCACTTCTTACATGCCATTAATTATGGATTCAGAGATTTAGGTCTCAAGGGAAACTTAGTAATCATGCAGTCCAACTCCCTCATTTTATAGAGGTGGAAACTGAGGCTCCAAAATGTAAAATGACTTGTCTAAGGTCATAGGCAGTAAATGTAGGGCCAAGATTTGAACCCAGCTCCTCTGACTTAAGAGTCAGAACACTTTGTATTGTACCAGGCTGTTACACACAGGAATTCCACCCAGTCTCTGCCCCTTTGATAATTACTAGCCTAGTGAAGGTCACTTTATTTCTTTGTTTCAGTTTTACCCTTCATAAAATGAAAAAGTTGGATTAGGTGACCTCCAAGGTTTTTTCCAGCTTTAAATCTATGAATCTAGAGACCAGAGAGGAGAAAACATTTAGAATAGAAGGTGGACCTCATGATATATCCTGGATCAGACCTAAAAGAAGTCTGATAGAGAAATTGGGGTGATCCATGTGTCTGTGTAAGTGAAGTGGAAGTGGAGTTTGAAAACAGGTATGAAGGAGCCTCCAGGATGTTTTTAGTTCCTAAAACTTATCTATTGAGTTAAACACAGTGAATTAACATTTTATTAAATACCAACCATGTGCCAGGCACTGTGCTAAGTACATGGGATACAAAGAAAGGTAAAAGACATTCTCTGCTCTCAAGGAGCTTACATGAGGGAGACAGTGTACAGAGAGCTATGTACAAATAAGGTATAGGGATAAATTAAAGATAATTGATAGAGACAGGGCATTAGAATTAAGAACATTCAGAAGAACCTTTCTGTAGAGAGTGGGATTTTGTCTGGCACTTGAAGGAAGCTAGAGAAGCCAGGAGGTAGAAATAAGGAGGGAGAGAATTCCAAGCACAAGCAACAGCCAGTGAAAATGGCCAGGGTTTGGAGATGAAGTGTTTTATTTGAGGAATAACAAGGAGGCCAGTGTCACTGGATCATAGAATGTGTCAGTGGGTAGGTGGGATGTAAGACTGGAAAAGTGGGGAGGTGGATTTTGAAGGCCAAACAGAAGATTCTTCTATTTGATACTTGAGATAATATATAGCCATTGAAGTTTATTGAGTGGTGTGCGTGTTGTATAGCATGTGGTGTGTATGTGTGTGTGTGTGTGTGATGGTCAGACCGACACCTTAGGAAAATCACTTTGGCAACTGAATTGAGCATGGACTGGAGTGAGGTGGACTTATTCAGGGACACCAGGGAGGAGGCTATTGTAATAGTCAAGGTCTGTGGTGATGAGAATCTGTACTAAGGAGGTAACAGAATCAAATAAAAGGACATATGTAAGAGATGTTATGAAGGCAATATGGAAAGGCTTTGGCAGTATGTTGGATTTCGGGTGTAGGAGTGAAAGCTTGAGGGTGACATCGAGGTTGTAAGCACAGATGACCAGGAGGATGGTGGTACATTCAATAGTACTGGAGAATTTTGGAAGGGGAGACAGTTTGGGGGGCAGGGAAAGCTGAGTTCAGTTTTGGACATGTTGGATTTGAGATGTCCACTGGATATCCAGTTCTAGAGGCAGTTGGAGATGTGAGACTAGAGGTAAGCAAAGAAGTTGGGGCTGGATAAGTAGATCTGAGAATCATCAGCTTAGAGATGAGAACTGAATTCATGGGAGTTAATGAAACCATCCTGGGAAATGCAGTAGAATGGTCTCCACTAACATTGTCTCCTGAAGTCTCATCATAGCTTGGAGGTAACTCTGAGTTCTGGCAGGCCTTCCTAATAGAGTACAGAGTCTAATACATCCAACCATGCTGAAAAGATGAGTATGGCTCCAGTAATATATGATACCCCATCAGACGCAATTTGCTGAGTTTGGAGATGCTTATCACTAAATCAGCCACAGGGTGCTCAGCAAAAGACACCATCCAAGGTTGTCTATCGAGTCCTAGATCATGATCTGTGTTCATGGTAGGATGACTCCCACTGATGAAAGAAAGGATCTTTGGAATATTGGAGTATGTGCCAGAAGGGAGATGTCTGTGAGGGAAAATTCCAAGACTGCTTAATGTTCTTGGCTAAACACAGTCTCACATCTCATTCAGTGGCTGGAAATAGGGCACACTTCTATTGAAGAGAAGGGAGGTAGGGAAAAAAGGGAAAAAAAAAGACTGAGGAAGCATTAGTTTCTTCTTCCCAGTCAGTGTGGGGGGAATGGATTAAGTGTTGGAATTAAGATGATTTGGGTTTTAATCCTGATTCTGGCAATGGCCAGATGTGTGGCCCTGGGCAAGACTCAACCTCTCTCCAACTCTTGCTTCCTCACCTGTAAAATGGAGATGACAATAACAGCATAGTACAACATGGTACAGAAAAGGACAGCATGGTACTGGGAGCTGGCCTCAAAGTGAGGAAGACCTGGGTTGACGTTCTGCCCTTGGCACATATTAGCTGTGTGAATCTGGCTAACCTACCTCACCTCTCCCTACCTCCCGTCCATCTTCTTGCCAGCTACCTTACTAGCTGTTCATGTACCCTCACATTCTCCATGCCCTCTCCAATTCTGGAACCATAATCAAATTAACTTTGCCATTGCTCTAGGAAAGAGTCTATCAGTATATTCTTCAGGTTCTCCTCTTATGATCCCTATAACTTTTTTTTTTTTGGTGAGGCAATTGGGGTTAAGTGACTTGTGCAAAGTCACGCAGCTTGTACATGTCAAGTGTTTGGTCTGAGGCCAGATTTGAACTCAGGTCCTCCTGACTTCAGGGCCAGTGCTCTATCCACTGCACCACCTAGCTGCCCCTGATCCCTATAACTTTCTAAACCAGAGCATCCCTCCCTGACCACCACTCCTTTATGTACGTTGTCCCTCCCCTCAGATTGTAAGCTTTTCAAAGACAATTATTGTCTTCACTTTTTCATTTGCATCCTTAGTGCTTAGTGTAGTGTTTGGAACTTAATCTGTACTTGTTGAATGCTTTTTATTCATTCACTCACCCATTCACCAATTCCTTCATTTATTCAATGTTCTAGGAAACTTACTTAGATAATAAGTTGTGGTACTTCCACTTACCTGAATTGGTAGAGGAGGTTTCCTGACCAGAAGTCCCCTACACCAATGAAACAACGAATCTTCTAAAAAATAGTTCCTACTACAGTGTTGTGAGGTTTAATTTAGGCAGCATATGTGAACCATTTTGCCAATGTAAGAAGGCTATATGCATTTCAGCTATCGTGTTCATAAAGCAGGATGTATTTCACAAGCAACAAATAACATGTCAAAGTAAATATAACAGATCTAGATGTTGTAAGCTTTGGGGTTGCTTAATTAAAATGTGTGGGAAACTATGATCTCCATTCAAAAACTATTTTTTGTTTGTTTTGGAAAATGGTAAAAGCTTCCAGGACACGGAAGGAAGGAAGAATGGACAGATGCTGTCTATGGAGAATCCTCTATTTTCCATGTGTAATTTATCTAACACATCTGGAGGAAGTTATTTATTTCTCACTGCCTAGACCTATGACTGAGCACTTGAGTTGGAATTCTGTGTCTTCATGCAGCACATTGAGAATGGGACCATTACAGTTAAAAATGCTGAGGTTCCACTATTGCTGAAGGAGAAACTGTTAGAGAAATCTCGACAGATTACCATTTTTGTCTGTTTGTTGCCTTTCTCCTAATATAAACTTTAAATACTCTCAGATGATTTGTCTTAATTGGGCCTCTTTAAAAAAAAAGATACCAATAATACCAATCTGTCTATAAATGTGTTATCTCCTCTATGATTTCTTTCTGTTTTCATTTTTACTCTTTTTCCTTGTTGGGCATTGATTTTGATCTTCAAGCTGACAAGTCAGTTGTCTGACTGCACAAAGACATGTTTTGAAAACTGCTGCATCAGTTGCTAGTCATTTCCTGTTAAATTATAATCAATTTTGTTTTTGTGAGGTTATTTGATGCTTACACATCCTGTGCCATCTGACACTTTTTGCATTAAAGATTTCATAATACATAGGTCTGATTTGTTCACACAATCTACAAGTTTTGGGGCCTTTTTTAGTTTCTTAATCCTGAGTCGTATGTTCCAACATATTTTCTTTTGAGACATCCTCTTATGTCCAGGTTGCATTGAATTCACAGAATATTAAAATATATATTGAACTAATTTGCAGGGAATTAATGAGTTCTTAATAGAATATTTCTACATTTTCATTTCTTTCTTTTTATTTTGGTGAGGCAATTGGGTTAAGTGACTTACCCAGGGTCACAGCTAGTGAGTGTTATGTGTCTGAGGCCAGATTTGAACTCAGGTCCTCCTGACTCCAAGGCCAGTGCTCTATCCTCTATACCACCTAGTTGCCCTCTACATTTTCATTTCTGACACAGATACTAGAACTATCTTCATGGTGATCGTTTTGTAAAGGTATTATAATTTGAGATGACCAGAAGGACCTCTAAAAGATATTTGTTATTTTTCTTGTTGCTGTGCAGTTGTGTCTGACTCTTCATGGCCTCATTTGGGATTTTCTTGGCAAAGATATTAGAGTGGTTTGTCATTTCCTTCTCCAACTCATTTTGCAGATGAGGAAACTGAGGCAAACAAGGTTAAGTGACTTGCCCAGGGTAACACAGCTAAGTGTTTGAGGCTGGATTTGAACTCAGGTCTTCCTAACTCCAGGCTCAGTTCTCTATTTACTGTGCCACCTAGCTGCCCCATTACTTTCCTTGGTTGTAGGATAAAAATCAACTTTGCCATATTGCTTCTCTAAGGAGAACCATTCCTTTTGCCTTCTGTTTCATTTATAGCAAGGATGTCAATATAGATATGATCCAGTTTTTCCTTTTATTATGTCAATGCCTATATGAAATATACCAGTATGATTTTACTTTGGCCAAATAACTCTTATAAACTGCCTTTTCCTGGGCACCTCTGCTTAGGGATTACATTTATACTCATTCTGTTGGGGTCAGAATCGTTACAAGTATAAGTTCAGCGCTAGCAGAAGTTAGCTTTAAGGTACCCATGGCTTGTCAAGAGAAGAGGGAAAACCAAATATATCCCTAGTCATCCAAAAGGGAGCTGCTTTTTTCTACTGCTCCTACCACCTTCCAAGTGAGAAAACAGCCTTGAGCTAAGAAAAATGTATCTTGTGCCAAGTTTGTACTTTGTAGCCACAGAGTTCCATTTCTAACTGTATCAGCACCCTGGCCAGGGACAGTGACAAACCTGAGAGTGGTGAGCTGAGTCAGCATCCTGGCAAACAGTTTCTGAACAGCTCTTAGTTTTGCTATAGGGAATTGACGGAAAAGGGAGGAGGGTGAAGTATAGTGGAGAATTTAAAGGACTTTTACAAAGATGTTTGTCTTCAAGTATTAAAGTGGGGAAAAGAGATTTGACTGTCTGTGTTGGGCTCCAGACAGCAGAGCTAGGCACAATGGGTAGAAATCAGAAAGAGTTTAGGCTTGAGGTCAGAGGAAGAAAAGAGGTGATGTTGAAAAGTGTCTAAATGTGGAATGGGATGCCTCAGGAAGTAGCTGGAGATTTTCAGGCAAAGCTCAATGAGTGTGTTCTAGAGAGAATTCTTCTTCAGGTTGGACTAGATGGACCCCGTGGTTCTATACCATGCTGTGATTCTATGAAAAGGAGCGGACTTCACTGCTGATGTCAGGCAGTAGCCACCACTATGAAACCTTGAGGCAAAAATCCTTGTGACTGCAGACAGTGTTCCAGACCCAGGTCAACCTCCACGGTTGGGAGAGGTTGTGGTTGCACTTTGCAGGTTCCCAGGAGATTTCCTACTGTGGGCATGTGTCTACAGACCTTAGTGCGATTCTCATTCAAACCTAAGAGTGTTGTGCTAATGCACATCCATATTGTGGGGCATATGGAAGGTGGCCAGGGTAGCAGGTCCCCTGTCTGCTTGGCCTCTCTTGGATTGCTATGTGTGTGCACCTATGTTTGGTCCCTCTCCATTGGCTACCTATCAGGCTTTCTGAGGCAGTCTAGGTCACACCTGTCTGAGACTGCTTGGTCATTTCAAGGGTGGTGTGGGAACTCAGACATAATGCTCTGATCTTGTGCTGGGGGTGAGGATTGCATGAGCCTATTCTTTCTTCTTCTTGCTGTTTCCCAACCAGGCATGGAATAGAATTTTTAGTGTTAGGAGTATACCCTAGTTGGAGGAATCAGTGGAAATCAAACTCTGATAGCATAATAATGACTGGCATTTTATAGGGTTTTAAGGTTTATGAAGTGCTACGATTTCATCATTTCATACAATAGTTTTGTAAGGCAGGTGCCACTGATATCCACAATGAATCTGAGCCTCAGAGCAGTTGTGACTTGCTCAGGGTCACAAAGAATTCAAATTCAGGTTCCACTGACTCCAAGTCCAGTGTTCTATCCACTTATACCATACCGGAAAGCTCTGGTTTGTGGTTAGTTGCTTCTGCTTAACCTAGTCTGTTCTCTATGAAATCTGGCAGGAATAATTCATTTTGTCTTTCTTTCTGGGACTGATTTAAGTGACCAGTGATAGAGTGGACTTTGACCTCTTTTGTAACTTGCTCTGACTGAGACTGCAGCTTGCCTGAATCCTTAAAACACAGTTAATACTTTGGGGCTGGATTTGGAGGCAGGAAGACCTGGGTTTAAATGTCATTCTCTGACATTTATTGGCTATGTGATGAGGGAGACCCTTCAATTCTCTGAGTCCAAGCATCTTCCTCTGAGAACAGATGCCTGTTGGGTAATGCTTTTGTTGGGTAATGCCTGTTAGGCTCTACTTCAAAGGGTCATTGTGACGCTCAAATAAAAAACAAGTTTTGTAAACCTTAAAGTACAGCTCTTGTCATTGTCATTTTTATCCAGCTTGTCCTTCACTTCTTTTTTGAGGTGAGGCTCTTCAGGACTCCTTCTTTAACATGAAAGCCACATCCTCTCTCTGTTTCAGACAGGTGATAACAGGGGGACGGTGGGCAGAACCCCAACGGGCTTAAACAATTTCCCCCCAAAATGTTGTGTTTTATATCAATCGTTCTTGACATTTTGCATGGAATTTGAGTTCAGGCTCTGACTCTTTCTCTTATAATATGTGTGACTTGACTAGGTAATTTCAGTTCTAGTTACTTCAATGGTAATAAGAGGAGACTGACCTAGATGACCTGAAAGGTCCATTCCTAATCTACACTGGCATTCCCAAGGGTGGTATGCTTTAAATGGAGATACTTTCCATGAAGATATCAAATCCTCCAGTATTTTCACTATAGTAGGATTTATTTTATATCCTTTTAGTACATAAACAAATTAGGAGTGTTGAACTGATTCAAAGGTTGTGATAATCAATAACAGTTGGGTAAAAGTTGTGGCACTTTAAGGCAACTAGTTCAAAGATTATAAAATTGGCAAGAAGTATCCCCTCCCATTCATGGATCTCTTTGGTGTACTATTTTTTTTTCCTCCTTTCCTGTTTTGCAGAGGATGTGGCATTTCAGCCATCTCCTGTAACAGCACTGTCTTTCATGAGATTAATGGGGTCTGGCTTCCCATTTCTCCTTCGAGTTAACCTGCCATTTGGGTGTTTTTGTGATCTTGTAGGTAGCCAACAATTTCTCATATCCTCCATCTCCAGAGGTCCCCTGGCTCCTTTGTTGCTTGAATAAAGTTTATGATCAGTCTTAAATTGTTTATTTTGCTTCTTGTGTTTTCTCCATGTATCACCTCAACCTTTAGACTTTTGCTCTTAGTTGCTGATAAAGAGAATCTGGAGTTTCTGATATGCTTTTGTTCTCTAAATCCTTCCTTCCTTCCTTCCTTCTTTCCTTCCTTCCTTCCTTCCTCTCTCTCTCTTTTCTCTTTTTTTCCCCTTTAATTGGGCCACATGGAATTTAAGGGTCTTTTTGTTCGTTTTTATTGTAAATACTGGTTAGGTATTGACGGAATCTTACAAAACCTTTTCACATGTCTTTAGTAGCTCTCTACCATGGTGGCATCCTTAGGAATAATGAGATAATGGTCAATAAGAGCCTGTTTATCAAGACTGAGCAAGTTATTTAATTTCTATCTACCTCAGTTTCCTTATCTGTAAAATGGGTATAATAATAGCATCCAACTCCCACAGTTGTTGTGAAGATCAAATGAGATAATGCTTGTAAAGCATCTTGTAAATCTTCAAAGGCTACATAAATGTCAGCTGTTAAGAACTCATGCATATACTTTTGTGTGTAGCTTCCAAACTATTTTCACACTTTTGTCAAATGCTGTAGGAGGCTGTGTTTGCTCATGAAGGTTATTGCAGATTACAGCTATTTTCAATGACTCTGTTTTGATATTATCATTCTTTCTACCAGGTTGGATGGATGTTAGCAAACTCCAAAATGGCTTTTTTGAGATTTTAGTCTAAGCATGTCCCTCTTCAAAATAATTTCAGATAGCAAGATTCTTTTTTGTCATCTGTTTTCCTATTAGGTGGAGTTTGGGGACTTTGTGCTGTGTGTTTCAATGCCTTCAGATTCTGTGGCTTTTCCCTCTTTCAATTTAAGTATGTTCACAATTTGTGTTCTTATTTCACCTACTGTAGGTCTAGGGATGAAATAATATCTTATGATTGATCCCACTGACAAAAAGCAGTTTGAAGCCCTTGTCACTAACTTGTAAGATCTTTGAAGTTCTGAGACTATCACCATCACCATCGCCATCACCACCACCACTACTACCACCACCACCATCATCATCCCAAACTCAGATGAGCAGCAGTATAATGACCTGAAACAATGAATGTCTTGATTATTGTTGGTAGCAGTTCAAAAAGGAGAAGTTTCCAAGATAAGCATTGAGAAACTTAATGTCTTCATTGGGCAACATTTAGTCCTATATATGTATGTATGTATGCATATGTATACATAGTATTGCATATATGCATATGTGCATGTATGTATAGACACAAATATACATATATGTGTATACATGTATATACACACACATATATATATACACACATATACATAAGTGTGTATATTTGCAAATTGTTACCAGGTCAACTTAATGTGCTTATGTTTCCAAGTATAACTTGCATAAAACGTTCTAAAATTTAAGGCAGAAGAAGATCAAAAGAGAAGAATATTTGATTTTAGATGACAAAGGAAGAAAACCTGTTTTCTCTCATTCCCAGTGACAGCTGTAGAGAAGGGGGTAGTGGGTTCTTTCCTTTGGTGAGGGGCTGGGGAGAGCTGCAAACCTGGGAGCAGTTTCCTCCTGCCCATGGCTGCAGCTCGGTGACTTTCATACTCCACAAAAGCGAAGCCCCGGTTCTTGTTTTTGTCCGCGGCACTGGGATAGACGATAACATCGACCACACCTTCTGTGACCTTTCTCATCTCCGACAAGATCTCTTCCCTCTTTTTGGTCTTGGGGATTCCCCCAACAAATAGTCGACAGTTGTCTACACTGGCACAAACCCCAAGGAGGCGTCCGTTCCTGCAAGAAAACAGTTGTTTTGCTTGGTGAGAAGCCCGGTCCTACCAAGTTTTAAATGCCTTTGGTTTTCTAGATTCTTTGCCAGATACCTACTCATCTCTATCCTGGTGGAGCAGGAAGGGTCCTTAGAGACCCTGACACTGAAACCCCCTCACATTTTGGGGGAGGTCCAGTGATTTACCCAGTGACTTACCACACAAAGAGTGGTGAACACAGGCCTAGACTCCATGACTCCTGGCCCTCACACAGAGAGCTCATTTCATGACTGTTACCACATGAAAGGCAGGCAAACTCAGGCAATTCTGGTTACAAAGCTAACTCTTAAGTACTGAACCTGAGATTTCATTGAAATAGCTAACTAACACCCTCTACCAGTGCAGGTCAGTATCTCCTTGAAATGTATGGTCTTTAGAGAGTTGCTTAAGGTACTGAGATGATAAATAACTTGCTAGGATCACTCAGTCAGTCTGTGTCAGGGCAGGACTTGAACCCAGGTCTTCCTGACTCCAAGGTCAGCTCTGCTCGCTCATTACCTAGCAACAGTGTAACACGAAGGTAAAGAAACCCTAATGCAGTTTCAGACCGAGTTAAGAGAGGATTTTATATGTTTCCAGGAATGAGGAGTGATAGTCACGTCCATTTCTAGATGCTACATTTTTGAAAGACCAACATTAGGCTAAAGAATGTCCAAAAGAAGGCAAATCGGACGTGACGAGCCTTGAGTGCCTCGTGTATGAGGGCTGACTGGAGGAACTGGAGATGTTCAGCCTAGAGGAAAGAAGTCTGGGGGGGGGTGATTATTATATTTGATTATTTGAATTATCTTTCATGTGAAAGAGTGACTAAATATGTCCCATTTGGTCCTAGAGGTCAGAATGGAAGAGGAGGAGGGAATCTATGGAGGCAAATCTAGGCTTGATATTAGAAATAACTTCCTTCTCCTCCTCATCCTCCTCGTCCTCCTCTGGAGGTTATTCCTAATAACTTCCTAATGATGTGAGCAGAATGGGCAGTCTCAGGGGCATTCTCAGAGGCCTTCAAACTGAGACTGGAGGGCCACTTTCCATGTGTGTCAGTATGGCGATTCATTTTTGGGCAGGGATTAGACTGGCTGTCTGTTGAGGTCCCTTTAAAATGCTATCATTTTCTAATAGCTGCCATTTATGGAAAATTACATTCTTTTTGATACAGCAACCCTGTGTGGTAGATATTCTGGCCTTCATTTCCCTCCTGACTTTGCTCCCGACTTTCTAGGCTTCAAAACCAGGCTTCAGTCTCACTCTGGAAGCTCCCTCAGTACCTGGGGCCTCCTCACCCTGAAACATCCAATCCACCTGCAGCCTTCTAACCCTGAAGTAGTTCTCTACCAGGCTGGCCCACTTCTCCCATTTGTGAGTTTGTTCTGGGGCTTCCATTTTGTGGAGAGGCTCAAGCCAGCCAACCTTTGTTGTCCCCCCGACTCTGTTCCTGAATTTTAGGGCTTTCAAACCATGCTCCTGCACTGGATACCTTCATCTTTCTCCATCCCATCCCCATGATCTTCAGCTCCCTTTCATGTGTTATTTCCCCAATTTAGAATATAAGGTCAAGGCCTTTCCCCCCTTTATTGTTTGTTGCTTCCCCCAGTGCCTTGCCCACAGTAAGTGTTCAATAAATGCTTGTTTTCTTCCTTCTTATCTCCATTTTATAGATAATTAAACAATGCCATTGACCTGTCTTCATTGTTAGTGGATAATTGAGATGGGATATGAGCCCAGGTCCTTCTTGACCCCAGTGGCAGCACACCGACCATTATGCCAAGTTGATTCATGCTCACAGTCAGATGGATGGAACCCCCTGATGGTGCAGTCATGATGATATGCAATGAGAGGAGTCTTACCTAATTTCATAATTATTCAGCTGCTTGATGGCATTTTTGGCCTCCTGCTTGTTGGAGAACGTGACGAAAGCGTAGCCTCGGTTATTTCCATTAAAGTCCATCATCATCCTCATTTCATAGATTTTACCAAACTATACAAATACAAAACAGAGAGAAGCCTTAACCTTTCAACACCAGGTTGGGATCCCATGTGATCCCAAAGCCCTTTCTATTCTCAGCTTGGCATCTGTGTTCTGGGGGATCGGTTCTTGGTTAAGTCAGCTTCATGGCTGGTTCTCGATTCCTTCTATGCCTAGGCTGAAGCATCCTTTATCAGGAGATGGCGGTAATGGGGTGGGGTGGAGTGGGGGGGGGACCTAGATACATTTTCAGAATGCTGGACGGACATTAAAGTGCACTCCTCAGCAAAAGTCCTAGTTCCAGAAATTGACTGGGTCCTTCCCCCTAAAGATAGAATTTGAATCTCTGGAGATGCTGACTCTTTTTTTATTTAGGAAAAAGCTCTGCATTTGGAGTTAGCAGTTCTATATTTGGTTCCTTGCAATGTCACTAATGGCCTGTATGACTTTGATAAGTCATATCACTCTTTTGGGCCTCAGTTTCCTCAGTGGAAAAATTAGGTTGGACTAGACCGCCTCGAAGACCCTCTCCAGGTAAAAATCTTATGATCCCATAATTTTCTTCTCTGTGAAAGGAGATACAAATAACAAGAAATACAAAATATCAACTAACCATAAATTTAGAGAAAAGGACACCAATTTTGAGTGTACCAACCAGAAATGGAACTAGGGTGGGGCTACCAGCACTTTGTCACAGAGTGCCAAGTTTTGACATTGTTAACAATCCTTACAGACCTTTGAGGTCCTAGAACGATAGCACCTCCCTAGCTCAACTCCAATTCTCTATAGCAGCCTTCCTATGTTGGTATTTCATGGTCTCTGCTCCTCCCCCAAACCCCTTATGTCCCACCTCCTCTCCCACCCCCAACCGCTGTAGTCTGTGGCCCTTGCCCCAGGCACAAACATTCCTAATTACAGTTGTGGTGACTTCTGCGTCTGACCTATTTCTATCCTCATTTCCATATAAAGCAAAGTTGCTAGTTGATGAAGACAGCTGTCAGAGAAACAGCTGGGAGCAAGCCACTATCATCCTTTGAAAAAAAGTAACGCACAAATGTAACTTTAAACATCAAACTAAATTAAATTTACACTTGTAACTGATTTGCATAGATACATATATGAATATAAATATATATGCATACTTCCTTTTACATAGATACAATTAATCCATATACTGATTTAAATCTGCTTTCTTCACATTATTTTGAATCTTTTCACATTTCTTTATATTCTAATGGTAGTAGTAGCATGGTATTTGATTACATTGAAAAACCAGATTGTTTAGCCATTCCACAATTAATGCTTGTTTTATTTCTTAAGTTCAGAATAAAACAAATAAAATAGTACCCCAAGTCTCTCCCCCCTCCAGTTACAGATGTTAATATAAATATATTAGAACAGAATATTCTTTTGAATAATTTTGACAATTCTTTTAAAAATTTATTTCCCCTAAATAAAATTATTGGGTCAAAGGGAATGGTTATTGTGGTAATCATTTGGAATGTTTAGCCAGATTATTCTCCAGAACAATCCCAGCAGTTTGAAATTTTGCCAGCAAAGCATAAGAAATTCATTGAATGCTGGAGATGGAAAGAGTCATAGAGATCATCTAACTGAAACCCGTAATTTGCTAACAGCAGAAACTGAGCCTCAGAGAAGTTAAATGATTTGTCCAAACTCACACAGCTAAGAACTTGAGCCTTGGTTCTCAGACAGCAAATGCAGTGATCTTTCCACTCCACTCTCCTGCATTTGTTTTGCCCCAGTCCTACCTACACTGGGTTTAGCTAATTTTTTTGGGGGGGGAAAGGGGTCAATTTGATTGGTTTGAGCTGATATTGGAGATGGTTTCAATTTGCATTTTTCATTAGAGAGCTTGAAAAGTTTTAAAAGTGTTTATAATTTATTCTTCTGTTGATTGTCTATTTATAGTCTTTAAACATTTTTCCAATAGTGATTTTGTGTTTTCCTGGAATAGGATTGGTTCTTTGCATAATTTAAATGTCAAATTTGCTCTTCTCGCAATCGCTATAAATGTTTTCCCAAATCTTTGCTTTGCCTTTATCTAACTGTGCCCCATATAATTTGCTCTCTGTCAGTTCTCATATTTGTTTAATAGACATTTCATTTCAAAACATTCATTCAATCAAAAATCAATATTTTTCTGGTTTTGTTAATTTTATTCTTTTATTAAATTTAAGTTTATTTTTTAAATTTATGGAATAAAATAAGAATTTCCATAACATAGTGTAATAAAAAAGAAATTTACAAAAACTATTTATTAAACCTTTTTTATGTGCTAGCACTGTTGGCTAACCTGCACAAATACAAAAAAAAGAGAAAAAAAAGAAAGAGTTTCTACCCTCAAAGAGCTTATATTCCAATGGGGAGATGTTATACAAATAACTATGCACAGTCAACATTCAAGAAGCATTTCTGAAACATTATGCACCAAGTACTGTGCTAAACTCAGGCTAAAAAGACAAAAATGGAATGGTCCCTGTCCTTAGAGTGATTACTTTCCATTGGGGAAAACATGTAAAGGAAATGCAAATATATACAAGTAATTACAAAACACACGCAGAGTAAATACAAAATGATGGTAGGATGATATTATGTGCAGGTGACATGAAATGATCCTTGATGGAATCTAGAGAGTCTAAAAGGCAGAAATGAGGAGGGAGCACATTCCAGGCATGGGAACAATCTGGTGAAAGGCTTGGAGATGGGAGATGGAGTGTTGTCTGTGGGGAAGGGTAAATAAGCTACATCGGTCAGATCAGAGAGTGAGTGAAGGGAATGATCTGTGCTAAGTCTGGGTAGGTAGGATAGTACCAGACTGTGGAAGACTTGAATTACCAAACTAGGAAGGTTGCTTTTATTCTAGAACTAATAGGGAACATAGGAGTTTGCTGAGTAGGGGAGTGACATGGTCAGATCTACAAATCAGAAATATCATTCTACCTGCTGTAGGGACGACCACTGGAAAAGGAACACAGATGATTTAGCCAAGCGGCCCTGGAAGAATGAGGTTTCAGAAATAATCTGGGCAAGAGGTTGATGAAAGCTAAACTGTTGAGTTGGACATACCATCTTACAAGTGAGTGGAGAGAAAGTGAAAGATGTAAGAGATACTGTGGAGATAGAAGGGACAACAATGCCAGGCACCATGTTAGGAACCGAGGGTATGAATAACAGAACAGTGCCTACGACAAAGGAGTTTTTAAAGGAAGAGGCAGCAAGCTATGTGGAAAGAGCTTTGTAAACTTGAATTGCTATAGAAATGAGAGGCTTCTTCTCCCCTCTCCCATCAATGCATGCAGGAAAGTTTCATCAATGATCAATTGCTTTAATTAAAAAAAGCATCCTATGAATGTGATTTTATTCTTCAAGTACAGCGACAAAACCTTGAAATTAGTTTATATTACCTCTTTTTTTTTCAAAGAAAATATTAGAATGAGTTTGGACATGTTGAATAAGAAGTGACCAGAAAAGTGACATCTCTAAGTAGAGATGTCCCAAAGGCAAATGGAATCCAACGGAAAAGCCAGGACTGGTGATGGTGATGGAAATTGAGGAGGCATTAAAAAGGGGAACAGGAGCTGGGAGTAAGTATCAGGGCCCAAGACCAGGAGGCTGACATCTGAGCCTCAAGGGAGACCCACAATTAGGGAGAAGTAGGTGGAGGCTGGAGAGCCAGTGAAGAACAGGGCAGAGGGAGGCTCAGAGGAAAACAGTTGGCCCAGAGACTGCCTGAGATGAGATGACAGTGGGTAGATTATAGAAAGGACCACAACTCACTTTTTCACAAAGTGGGATGAGCTCATCCTCAAAAAGGTCCCGGGGGAGTTTTCCAACAAAAATTTCACAGCCCCGTTCTGGAGGTGCAGCATCCCAGCCAGGGGGAGGTCCGCCATATTTTCTTTGTCCATTTTCCTGCAAGGGGAGGGAAGAAGGGAAAAGAAACTTAGTATGAGATACTTCATCTCTGTTCTCTTTATAGAATTATATCACAGTGTATAGCACATATGGTATTATTGCAAAAAGAAGACAGAGGCTCTGTTGGTCAGAGCATCCAATACAACCTCAATGATTTGAGTTCTAACCCTAGCTTTATTGGCCATATGATTATAGATTCAGAACTGGAAGACACCTGACATACGATCTAGTCCGTTCTCCTCATTTTATATCTGAGGAAACTGAGTTGAAGTAATGAACCTAATGTCACGCAACTATTAAATATTATATCCAAGAACTGGACCCATGCAGCTAAGGTGGCAAAGTAGATAAGACTGCAAGGCCTGGAGTTAGCAAGACCTGAGTTCAAATCTGGCCTTAAACAGTTCCTAAATGTGTGGCGATGGACAAGTAATTCATTTAACTGCTATCTAATTGCTTTCTATATATAAAACAAGGATAATAATAGAACCTATCTCCCAGGTTATTTTAATGATAAAATGGGATAATAAATCTATTTGCTATACTATTTCAGAACTTAGAATTCTATATAAATGGTGATGATGATGATAATAACAATAATGATTATTATTTTTTGAGCTTTGGTTTATGGATATGTGAAGGCATTATAATGAAGGCTTTAGCATGTATGATGTTTAGAACTAACAGATTTAGAGTTGGGCACCATTTCATCCAATCTCTTAAGTTTTTCAGATGTGGAAACTAAGTCCTAGAGATGTTAAGTGACTTCTTCAGTGTCACACAGGGAGTAAGTGGCAAAGGTCAGATTTGAACCTTGGTCCTCTGACTCCATATATCTTTCCAATGTATCATGCCATTTTTTGTTATTGCAGTTTTTAAAATTCAACTTTATTTTCTTTTTCATGAAGTTCTACTTTTTCTCTCACCCCATCTCCACTGCCCACTGAAAAATAAAACACCTTAATTACAAAGATGTAATCAAGCAAAACAAATGCCTACATTAGCCACGTTCCCCCTGGCTCCACTCCATGTATCTTAGTTTGCTCTCAGAGTGGTAGGCAGTGTGCTTTGTGTCGAGTCCTCTGGAGTTGCGGTCAGTCATTGTGTTGATCAGAATTTATTGTTGTAATTGTATAAATTGCTCTCTTGGGTCTGCTAACCTCTGCATCAGTCCATACAAGTCTTCCCAGAATTCTCTGAAACCATCCCCTTCAACCTTTCTTATAATAAAATAGTATTCCATCACATTCATGTGTACCATCATTTGTTCAGTCATTCCCCCATTGATAGGTGGACATTCCCTGAGTTTTTCAGTCTTTGCCACCACAGAAAGAGCTATTGTGCCATATTTATTCATTTAATCAACAAACATCTATTTAAAATACCTACATTAGATGTTTAACCGGATATAAAGTTTTGATACAGTATAGTCCCTGCCCTCATAGGATTTATAGGCTAATATGGGGGAAAACATCTCCCCTTCCTGTGCCTTGATTTTTCTACATAACAAACAAGCAGATACACAACTAGTATGGAGTAACTGGATACTATTCCAAGGCAGAAATTTAGAGTGATAATTTAAAGGGTTCTTACTGCCATTTCAGTCCAGAAGTATAGAAACCAATGAATTTAGAAAGGCAGTCACCCCATGGCATTCATAGGAGGGTATGGGGGGAAGCTCCTTCCATGCCCAGTTTCCAACTTCCCCAACTACAACCTTGGTTCCATGCCCCAGAGCCCCCCAAAGCTGAACCATTGCGCTCACACCATGTAGCCCAATGGAAATAGAACTAGCTTTAGCGAGAAGGCCTGAGTTGTAAGGCAGGTTCTACTCCTTAGGGCCTGAGTAATCTTGGCCAATCCACTTGCCTGCTGAGGGCCTCAGTTGTCTCATTTATAACATGTGGAGGTTGGACAAAAGACCTCCCCACTAGCCCTAGAATCTTTGGAACTCCTTAGAACAAAACAGAGATGTTGAGTGGCTGAACTTTCCTAGTGAGAACTACAAATTTTCTCAAATTTTCATTGGTGGCACACAAGGAGAATCTGTGATTTCACCAGTGGGGTCAGCTCCCAGCATGACAACTCCCTCCAGGGAGAGCTCAATCCATCTCTGACTCAATAAATGACATTTAGTCTTTAGAGAAACAAACTGACTTCTCCAGTGTCACACGGCTAGTGAATGTCAAGGGCAACACTTGAATTTGAGCCAGTCCTTGGAGGTCTTCAAGCACAGAATATATAACCACTGACTAGGGAGCTTATACTGACATGGGTTAAACTTGATGACCATGGCACTCCCCCCAGTCCTCACATTCTGTGCTTCTTTGAAAGTGAATCTTTCTGGATTTAAGGCTAATATCCTATCCACCATGCCATGGGGACTGTATGAAATTGGCATTAGTTGTTTAAAACCAAGATCCTCTAGCTACTAAATCATGTCAGGGCTTGTCCTCATCCTGTTGGCTTGCACAGCTTTCTTATTCAGAGTGTTGCTTTATGAAGTAGTGGGTTAATGTTGTTTGAATGATGCTAATGGTGAGGACTAATTATGATTTTAAAATACACTCTGATGTAATTATTTCAAATATAGCAGGGAGCGGAGATGGGAGTGTTTCTCATGTTTTAATTTTAACTTTTGACTTCAATGAAACTGGATTCATTTCTGCTACGTTAAATATTTAAGTTTGCTTGCAGATTTTTATGCCTTCATTCTTTCTCTATATTTGGGCCTAATTACAAAATCTCCATTTTGGTAATGTGACAAGTGATTTACTTTATTCTAACAAAACACTCCTGGATGTTCAAAAGCCTAGACTTACATGACAATTAGTCACAAATGATGTTTCCAGAGTGCTGGTGATCTCATCTGAGTCTCACACCCTTGTGAGGCAGGTTGTAGATGTTGTTGTCCCATTTTACAGAAAAAGAAACCAGAATTCAGAAAATGAAATCATTTGCTCAGGGTCATAGCTAGGAAATTGAGGAAGCAGTGTTTGAACCTAGGTCTTCCTGACTGCAAGTCCAATGCCTTATCCACTATACTATTCTTTTAGTGCCAAACATCTTCAGAAAATTTTCACCATGTCCTTTCGCCATTTCTAGATACAGTCAACATGTACCCCCAATATTTACCTGAAGAAGAAAAAATATTTTATGGTACAAAAAATATCTCCATTTTATGAAGCAACATGACATGTTTCTTAAAGCTATTAGCCTCCTAGGGAATTTGAAATAAGATCTATAGATCATAAATCTTGACCTAGAAAAGATCTCAGAGATCATCTGGTCTGAATCCTACCCCCACCAAATTTTACATGTAAGGAAATTGAAGCCCAAGGAAGCAAAGTCACATTGGTTTATTCTGCAATAGTCACAAAACTTTGAGGGGTACAAGTGCTCATGACACAGTTGAAGCACACACATATATTCCGCAAACATGTCTCTTAATTCAGAGAATGAAATTTTATTCTGAGCACATCGTTTTATAAGTCACTTGTCAAGGCTCAGCATAAGCATTGCTTTGTCTATGAAATCTTTCCTGATTCCCCCAGAGTCAACATTTTCTTCCTTTTCAGTTTTCTTTGTACTAGACTTAGCTGTGGCCGTGTTGCATCTGCAACCCTCCTACCATCCCCCCACCCCATCTCCCACCCAGTGGAATATATGTTTCTTTGTTACAAGGACTGTTTCTTTTTTTCCCTCATATTCCCCAAACCTAGCATAGTGCCTGGCATATAGTAGGGGCTTAATAAATGGGAGAGGAATTGAGTTGAATTTTGACATTCAATGAAGCATTGGAATCAACTGAGTATGATTTTTGAAGATTTCAAAATTTCAAAAAATTTCCCTTCCCCCCTTTCTCCTTCCCCTCCACACCCTTACCACCCAACCCCAGCTCTCCTTTCCATTTTTCTCTAGTCTAGATACCAGAATTCCATCCACTGGTAGGTAACATTGATTTTCTAGAATTGTCATCTAACTTGATTTATATCTTATGACTGTCTAAAATAGAGAGGCAATCAACAAGCCGGGCCATTCTTGACTTGCCCCAACTGCTAAAAACTGCACCACCAAAATGGTGTCATGTGTGTCTGGGAAAGTCCCTTGCCATTGCTGGGCCCCTTCCAGCCAAGTACATGGACATAGAAGGCTTGGGCTTCTTAGGAAAACAAATGATTGGATGGGAAGCCTCAGGATACCTCCTCCCCACTAAGTCTTGGTGTGGCTTCTCTTGCCACCAGGAAAAAAAGACCAGGGGATCTTTTGAGGTCGGTAAAGCCCCTGGCAGGCCCAGAGATACTGCTAACTCAACACGTGGGGGGGGGCAGTGTGCCATGTGAGTGCTGCCCTCTCTGCTGTTTGGAATTTGCCAAGGCCTACGAAAGACAGGTGTGGAAAATGAGTCGCATGAGGACAGAGAACAGCCCTCCATTGCCCATTGACGACAGATAAGGCCTGGAACTTTGGGTCTTTGGGCCCTATTTTTATAAATCAAGGGATGTAAATAGCCAAAGCCAATTTAAAACTACCTTTTACCAGCTAAAGTCCTTCTCAAATGACACACTCCCCAGAACAGGATTGCTGTATTAATAGGAAGCCTAGCAGTGCCCAAAGAAAACTAGATATCATTTCTTTTAAGGCAGAAATGTTCATTGAGCACTCACAGGGGTCCAAAAAAGTCTTTGCAACCCTCTAATGTCAAGCAACAGAAAACTCTTCCACTCCAAGTGGGTTAAACATCCAAAATCTGAGGTTCCCTCTCGGTATTTCTCACCTCCCCCCCTCAAGTGGCTGTTGTCTTTAAAATTAGATTCTATATAAGGTTGAAATGTTAAACATATTAGGAAATGACTTCTGTTAGAGAATTATAATAATACTGGTAACAATATTAATAATAGCTAGAATTTATATAGCCCTTTAAGAAATCACAAAGCACTTTACATAGGCTATCTTATTTGATTTCCATGACAACCCTGAGAGGTTAGGGAACTATG